TTTTGGCATCTGATAAGCCCTAAAACCCATGGATGTATTACTAAAACTGGTCTTCCTGGATATTGTTTCAAACTTCTCATGGGTACCTGGCTGAAGCAACATGATCACACCAATGCAGGCCCTCACTTTTCAGGGGAGAACTGATCTTTTCTACTTTTACAATGTTTTTGTTTTCTCGTTAAGATTGTTGATTGTTGCTGTAACATGAACATGAAGGTCTTATATTTGATATTGAGGGACTGCCGAGACCGCATGTGTATAATTGATTGACAGATTTATGCTTAATAAAGAATTCCCCAGGTTTTTTAAAGGTTCAGGAGGTTTGATTTCAAAACTTCAGTAATGTAGTCATGATATTGGTGGTTGCAGTTAACCTCCTGGCATGAGTCCCCTCTCATCTCTCCTGCAGCAGCCCTCCAAACAGTGAGTGTCTAATGTTATGCAGTTGAATGAAATTTCTCATTGCAATGAACAATGTCTCAATGTCTCTCAACCATGTTACCATGTCCTGTCAGCTGAAAAGAAAGCAAAGATAGATTTTTCCAAGAGATGATTCCTCTCTGGGATGAAGTCAAAGCCTTTCTGCTCGCAGACATAAAAACAACTTTATACTGTGAAAACACCAAAGCAGAAAAAATAATATGAACCTCATGCACGTTTAAAGCCAGTAAATAAGCTTCAGGTCAACACTTAGCTTAGGGCTGGTGTCAACATCAGGATTATAAACGGGCTTATGGTAACACACTATAGTATATGGAGGTGCGCATATTCAACTGTAAGCTTTAGTGACAAGCTGTCAAATTGAATTACCTCTGTTGCTTTTTCATTATATTTGAACATATACATACACTCTCTCAAACACAGCACTAACCAAGTGGTGTAGAGGTCACTGTGTGTTTATCATGCAGATGACATGCAAACATGACACTGAATTTCTGACCAGCAGAAACCAATACAGAAAGGCCTTAGGATTACTTAATGCTGGAGTTTTTGTGTTGAAGCAAATACACAACTTCGCTAAAAGATTCTTTCAATAATGAATGTGCTATAGCTTCTCTTAATATGTATTTTGTGGCGGTTTAGTAGCAATCTGGCATCTAAACCAACACCATTGTCATCTCGCCAAGATGGTGGCAAACAATAAACCAAAAATACAGGCTTTAAAATGTTTTCTGCCAACTTTGTGCTATAGGTGTTACCTTAATGAATGTTGATGAAGGATAGTTTTGCTAAGAAAAATAAGGTGCAACACTAGTGCACAGAAGATTTATGACATTTGCTATGTTGGATGTCTCAAGATTTATAGGTTTCTTGTTAACCTGCTTCCTGTTCATTTACACTGATTTATTTCATGCAACTGGCATACAGGGCTAATATTTCCACACTCATACTACCCACAGCCACCAACAAAGACAGCCACCAACAAACACACACACAGACACACACACACACACACACACACACACACACACACATGCACACACACACACATAGATGCAAACAAAATTTCTCTCCCCTTTCTCTGCTTTCTCGCTGCAGCTGGGTCCGGTCCCCTCGGGGTTTTGAAATATAACACTATCACCATTTATTACAATCTTTCCTTCTCTCTTTCTCCTTCTCTGCTCCTCCGTTCTTTGTATCTCTTAAATTCCACTCTGTTTTAAATCACACTGAAGTGGAGAGAACAAAAAGACATTTGCTGGGAGATTTTGTCCAGTGGCCTTACAGGACAATGAGCACATACAGCCACACACAAGAAGCCAATTCTTTTTCCATGGGAGGTGAGGGTGCATTTTATGATGAGGTATAAATAAAGCAGAAGTGAGAAAGTATAAAGTAGCAGTACAGTTAATTCCTGCCTTGCATTGTGACCGACTTTTAGCAGTTTGATCACATCTCTTAATTCAAAATACTTTATTTGTCCCTCAGGGGTACCCACACAAAAAGCAATCTAAAAAGACAAATATGACAATGTCAGAAGGAGCACCAAAAACACCACAAAGGCACATATTATGTAAAAGTTGTCTAACAGCCACCAGGTACTAGACACAGTAACCAGCTGCACTCATTTTATACTGGGTGAAAGAACAACTGTGCATGGAATTTCTATTAACTTTGAAATTCCAAGCAAGCCTTCAATTAGCATTAATAATGTTTAATCAAAGACACACACAGAGTTTATGTCAATGGCCTTATGCTGTCTCATGTTATTACTGTCAATAATAAACGTTTTTGTTGTTGCAATGAAAGCAGAAGTGATCATCACTGTGACTGGATAGAGACCAGAAACTTACTCATGAGTAAGAGATGGAGCATTATTTTGTTACTATATTTGTTTTTTTATAGGATTTACTTGATAAATTATCTGAATGTAGTTTTTATGTTATAAATAAGAAAATCATTAATGGCAGTAACATTATACTGCAATGTGATAGCAATAATACAATGCAGTTCATTTTATGTGTTCAATGGCTGTGGATAATATCACATGGTTACATGAAAGTTACAACTCTGCCAAAGATTATTATAAAATCTCCACTTTGTATCCCAGACATGATCTACAACCAATGTGCAATAGCAAGTACATTTAGTAGGAAACGTAATGACAACCTAGATTATATTTAAATTAAAATATTGAGTAATTTTTTAGATTAAAAGTTCACAGTTCAACATTTAACCAAAACCACAATCGTTCCCTAAACTTAAGCAAAGTGCTCTTCCTGCCAAAACATAACAATGGAAAAGACTCTGGATTCAAACCCTGAGATCTGGTGTCAAAGTCCTACATTTGTATGTCTGCCATTAACCCTGCAATTTTCTTTAGCCCCGTTGTTAGATGTTGTATTCAAAATGTTGCCTCTGAATATATTCAATTTCTATCCATATTCACTGTGTTGGTTTAGTGTGTAAGCATGCTACATTTGCTGATAAGCACTTTGTGCAAATAAGCTGAGGCTGATGGGAATATTAGTTTTGGAATCTTGACCTGATGATGGCACAAGGCAAAAAGTCAGAGGATCATCAAAATCCAATTCATCTTCTGGGGAACATGAATGTCTTTACAATGTCTAGCTAATCCATCTAATTAAGTTTATTTTAGGCTGGACCAAAGTGATGGAAAGAACAGCATGACCAAAGCCATACACAGTGAAAACAACACTGGTTACAATCATGTTTTTGATGAGTTGAGCTATCAAGATACGAGTTTGTGTATTGCTGGTGTGCGTGTGTGTGTGTGTGTGTGTGTGTGTGTGTGTGTGTGTGTGTGTGTGTGTGTGTGTGTGTGTGTGTGTGTGTGTGTAATGTTACAGAGGAGGGGGGTTTATGTGAATTTAAATCTATATAATTAAATATTTCCCTGTGAGTTCTCTCAGGAGAAAACGAGAGAAAATGGAGTTTATGAGGAAGAGATGAGAAGCAAAATGAAGAGAAAATCATGTTAGGAGAGGGAAAAAGAGGAGACAAAGAAGTGTGTGAGAGAGGAGACGTTACTGAGAGAGGAGAGAGGTCTGCTGGGAATCGTTTGGGGTGAGAGAACATTTTCCTCTTCTCGGGAATCTGTGTGAAACCAAATTACTGTAGACAACAGAATTACAGACGCAGACATTCAGAGGGGGAAATAGACGAGGAATGAGCAATAGAGAAGCACAGAGACTGAAATGAAAACGATATTGTGAGTGTAAATCATTTTGTGATTTTGATTGTTTCTCCTGCTTTATATTCAGAGCATAGATGGGCAGAAAGACAGGAAAAAACAGCAGGAAGCCTGTCTTCCAAAACAAAGGATGCTGTTCGCCCCTCTCAGTCAGCTGCAAGTTTTGTCCTGCAGTGATTCTAACCGCTGTTACACTTGTGTACTTTTTAAATGGATAAGCAGCATTTGACTTATCAGGACAGATACATACATATATTTTACTGCGTTTCATTAAGTACACTTGATGAAAGAAAGAAATATATTGCATATTGAAACTCTATAACTTATTTTTTTGGTTTTTAGAGTGAATTCTCTGTGAAAAGTGCAGTGGATGCAGACATTCATAATCACTTGGTTGTTTGGGTGACATATAGCTCATATACTGTATATATATATATATATATATATATACAGTATATATGTACCTCATACTATTACTCATAATGTATTTGAAGCCAGTATAATCCAACAAAATCCTCCAACAAAATCACCTGACATAATTGGATTCGCTTTTTGCCGTATCAGTGATACACATCATGATTTGAGTATATTTAAATTTTGAGTGTTAAGTCTCCAGTATTTGGCTAAAAATGTATGTGGAAATATCTGATTTGTGTCGCATGCAATATGGAGGGCATTAAGAACAGCATTAGAACACTGTGGTTCCAGCAAAAGAAAGAAAAAGGGGAGTCTCCTCCTCCGTCCTCTCTCAAGTGTGTTGTGAGCGTCGACAGAAAGATAAGGAGTGACTGGCAGGAAGACAGATGATGAGGTAGACAGACAAACAGGAAGAGGGTGGACAGGCAGAGCAAACAGACAGATGAGATATTAAACAGAAATGGAGGGGAACAGGATCGTTCTGTAATCTAATGATGATGATGACTGAGTGTGTGTGTTTGCGTGTGTGTGTGTAGACTCAAGCTCTAATTATCTGTCACACACTGAAATGGAATTTGATGTGTGCACGGCAAGACAGCTGTTATGTAACACAACCCCCAAGTGTATTACTGTCATAAGGCCTGACAGATAGATAGATAGATAGATAGATAGATAGATAGATAGATAGATAGATAGATAGATAGATAGATAGATAGATAGATAGATAGATAGATAGTAGAACAAACCCTCTCCATAATGATCAATTGTAATGCTACTGTGGCTTCAGTGATGAACGTGATCTGTGTAGTATTATCTACATCAGTGGCCCCAAAACTGTTTTCCATATGAACATACATGTTCTCACACACGCTGAAACACACAAACACACCCTCAAGCCTGACCTTCATCTCTCTCTGTCTCCCTGCAGTGAGCTCCAACCAGAGCCATGGGGAGTACCCAGACTGCCGGAGTGAGAGGGAGTCGGGAGGGGAGGCGTCTCTCCTGGTGTCTCCGCTGGTGGTGGCGGGGATCGTTATAGGTCTGGTCCTCTTCCTCTCCTGCATCACCATCATCATTGGCAGCCTGCGCAAAGACAGTCGACTCCGAAACCCACACCTCCGAGCAAGCTACGGTCAGTCCAAGCGTTTGACTAACAGATCAACTAACTAATTCGTTAGAAATTAAAGTGATTGACTAACAGGTAAAACAAGCAATTGGTTGCATTTTCCCCTTAAGTTTCGGTAAGGATTGTGGCAGTTACCATCTCCGTCATGGCAATCTGTGTAGTGATGGAGCACACCATTCGGCTGGTGATTAAGATTTCAGGCCCATTTATTCCGGATACTTCTTACATGGGGGCTTCAAAAAACGGATGAAACACCCCTACACATTATTCATGTTGATCTGAGATTCACTACACCCACACTGTCATGCCATGTAACTTGCTTCCATTTCCCAAGAGAAAGTCAATATTTCAAGGCACTAAGCAAATATTAAACAATAGTTGTTGTCAGGACTTTAAATGGATGGACAGAAAAAAACTAATTACCTAATCCATTTAAGTGTCCAAATTCTTCTCTTATCTTATTGCTTCTTTGCATCGGTCATCATGGGACGCACCAACTTGAGTGCTGTTTAACAGGCTTTACTTGACCAAGCACATTACATTCAAACAGGGCTTTTGCTTCATGTCTATTTCTCTGCAGGTCTGGATGGTTTTTCCTACGGAGGTTCAGTAGGAGAACTAAGATCTACCTGCTTAGAAGACTTTCCTCCTGGTTTAGACTTTGATTCATACAGAGAGACCCTGTCACAGGTCAACAACCTGTACCCCGATTCACCGCCACGGTAAGTGCTTGTGTGAATCTCAGCTGATTATGTAATAATGGTGTCATTCACAATGAGATGGTCATTAAAGGGCCAGTGTGTATGATTAAGAGGCATATAGAGGTGTTGCTTCACCCTCCCCTCCCAAGGACAGAAGAAAAACTGCGGACAAAAAGCATGACAAACGCTCATATCTAGAGCCAGGGCTTGGTTTGTCCATTCTGGGCTACTATAGAAAAATCCAATTTCTATTTGCTTTCATGCTTGTCCTTGTATTAAGCTAAGTTAGCTGGCTACTGGCGGTAGCTTCATATTTAGTGTGTAGATGTAAGAGTGATATCAATCTACTCATCAAATTCACCAAGAAAGCATATTTCCCAAAATGTTGAACTTGACAGAAAAGGGATGGTTTCACATTCATCTGCTGAAAGTGGAAAGTTTCTCTGTGCTCACCGAAAATCTGATTTGAGGGGATGGAGTCAAGTAGACCACTCCTCCTTTTGCCAATTAGGCTATGTCAAATGTCAAATATAAATCGTAACTGACCATTCAGCCTGTGTCCCCCACTGTTCTCAGTCCACCTACTTTGACCGTTAGTGGTAATTCATTTATTAGGGAGCACTGCTACCTTTGGCGCCCTTTGTGAGGGTGCAGGAATGAGTGTTTGTGCACCTTGTGTGTGTGTGTGTGTGTGTGTGTGTGTGTGTGTGTGTGTGTGTGTGTGTGTGTGTGTGTGTGTGTAAGAGAGAGAGAGAATGGGAGAAAGAAAGAGCTTGCTAAAGGCCAATGTCATGGTGTTTTTGATCTAAATGTCAACCGGTCTAATTGGCAACTTTAATAATTCACATACATCCCTCCCCTGCAGTGTGTGTGTGTGTGTGTGTGTGTGTGTGTGTGTGTGTGTGTGTGTGTGTGTGTGTGTGTGCTTCATTCATCTCCTTGCTCTGCCTTAGAAACATTCACTCACTTTACCAAAATGAATCGATCTAAGGTTGGATAGTATCTTATCTTTTCTATTTATTCATTAAAAGAGAGTTCATTACTGACTTAAACAATTGTATCTGACTTTCCAATGTCCCAGGTCACCAGCTCACACATTTAGAACTTCATGACTTTCAGCATCAATATGAAGGTTTATGGGGTGTTCAGTTACCTTTGCAAATTATAACAGAATTTTGAGAAAATCTGAAATACAAAATGTAAATGCACCATGGCTTATCTTGTGAACCAACTCCTTTTATGCGTAACAGTAGTGGAAGAATTAATTTGCATCCTCTTTTGCCGAATTACGTGAAATTTGATTAAAATTTACAGTACATTTGGATCAAAACGCAACTAGTTAGTCAATGCAGAAACTAACAAGACTTGAAGAGATATTGATTATTTTTCCGTTGCAACCATGTTGTACACATATATCATTCTCTTTTAGGCCTCAGTGGGCACAGTGCTGGAAATGTTCCACATGGATCCAGATTCATGCTGATTCAATAGCACCATCACCATCACCATCATCATGTTGAACCTAAGCCTGAAGGTCTGTTCTGGGGTTGTAATCTGGGGACTAAACCAAAGCTCCTGTCATGTTCTTGGTGCTATCTTGTAACACAGATAAAGTGCATTACCTGTAGGGGGATACACCTGGTCAGCAGCAGGGTTTATTTTTGCTGTGGTATTTAAATGATGCTTGATGCTGCAGGGCCTTATGTGGGCCAAGAAAATGTTCCCGTGCACCATTACAGCACCCACCAGACGTCTGGTGAATCCATTCATAATGTTGATGAAAAATCCTGAACCTCCTAATTAGCAGTACTGGGCAGAAACCATAATCACAATGTTTGTTTGAGAGAGAGTAACAGTAAATATCACAGCTTCAAAACGAAGAAAGAAAGGGAAAGAAAGGAGAGGAGAGGGGAGCTAGCTAGCTACGTCAGTGCTCTGGCAGGGAAGCAGAGTGTTCTGGACAGCTTGTGTGAGAGCCGGACTTTCTGGCCCGGACAATGGGACAGCAGCCAAAACACACACATAAATGCACACAAACACACATACATACATAAAAAATTGCACATTTTGTTTACCATAATGCTGGCAAGTCGTGGTTTGGTACCCTGTCAACAAGCAGGTAGTTGAGGTCATGTGATGATCCTGCAGGATGTGTGTATGTGTATGTGTGTGTGTGTGTGTGTGTGTGTGTGTGTGTGTGTGTGTGTGTGTGTGTGTGTGTGTGTGTGTGGGCCACAGATGGTTGAGGGAAACTCAGAGAACTCAGATCAACAGCTCACCTACTGAGACTGTGAACGCAACGCTTCCGACACAAACACACACACACACACACACACACACACACACACACACACACACACACACACACACACACACACACACACACACACACAGATACGTACACACACACACTCCCAGAAAAACTCACACTCACGGATCAGGAGCTCACCTGTGGAGACTGAAAGCTTCTGCTTCCTCTCAGGGAGATGCTGGCTTTGGCACAAACACAGACACACACACTCTTTGCTTTGTAATATCAGTGAGCAAGAAAAGGTAAACTGTTGCATAAAGTTTAGAAAGACGTGTGTTGAGAGCTGGTGGTTTTTCACTGCTAAATTCTGGTCACATTTGTTTCAATATCCATGATTAATAACATTTAAAGCAGCATTAACTGATTTATTTGGCCATTTGGCAGCACAACAAGCTGTAAACACGACACTGGCATATTATGACATTATAAAGTTCTTATAGTGAACATAAGACACATCAATATTAGCATTCATTCATTTGGATTTGTGTTTCTGGGCAAAATAGTCCAATATTTACTGTTCATTTAGCTGTTTTTTGTAGCCACCGATCCTTTGTATTTAGCCGCTAAATGCTTCACTGCTTTATGTTCTGTTTGCTGCACCGGTAGCTTACAGAGACTTTATCAGAGTTTGTTTTCTTGAAATTTGGCTGCTTGCTGTAATAAGGTTACAGTTAAATTGCAGGCCGTAAAACCTTAAATAGTTTTTTTTGTTGAAATATTTTGTCCTCAGTTGTTCAGATGTTTGTCTGCCTGAATTGTAAATTCAACACTGAGATTCAGTTACATTGATATTAGTCAAACAAAATGTCCTAGTACTTAATCAGGCGGTAGCATCAAATTACTCACACACATTTGTTTTTGTCTTGTTACAGTGCAGTAGAAATATACTATGTTAACATAGTTTGTAGCTAAATACTGAAAAGGGTGTTTCTTTTATAGTGATACAAAATTGTGATGACATTTGTTTTTTAGTTTGTGTGGAAATTCTTTATTAGGAATGATAACCATCTCATTGTCAAGGGTGTCCTCAATGACAGAATTTACACAAAACTTTTAACAAAGACAAAAGTAAGAATAGTATAATAAACCATACAAAGACAAAAAAACAGAGCATAGAAATGGATAATGTATTCATAGCTTAAAGTGGTATTATTGATGTCAGTGAAAGCATTAAGTAATATAGTTACGTGATTATAAAATTATAGAGGTGTTATTATTGACAACTCTCATTAAGAACATGTACAATAGATCCTATAACGTGGTTTGCAGCAGCCATGGTGCACACACAGTACGCTGCTTCTCGGCGAAATAAAAAGATTCTACAAATAAATTTCCTGTTCAGCAGCCTCATTGAGTGATGGCAACAGAAGTGTTAAGAATAATTAGCTTGTTGTTATGTCATACTGTATGACACCGACTGTCTGTGTCACTGACAAAGACAGGAAGTGTACGCAGGTCAGGATGTTTCAAACCAATTTTAACGGTGAGCCAGTGAAAGCTTATGAGAAAGGATAACACCAGACAGCAAGGATGAGGGCTTTACATATAACAGAGGGAAATCGAGAGAGACTGTGGAAGCTCAATAATTGAATCTCAGGAACAACACTGTAAAGTAATGGGAGACGTATGACCTCTAGTTTCTTCAACCTGCAGTAATGCGATCTGATAAAACCTGATCTGTTAAATTTCATCAAAAACGTTCTTTGAAATGTTAAGTCTAACTTTTGGCTTCATCTTGTGAGTTGCTTTTTGCTGAGAAATCAGATCCACATAACACACACACACACACCTGTGAATGCAGCATCTATACAGTTCTCTTACTCCACAGGCAAGTGCCTCTCACAGTGGTAAAGAGCAGGGGCGTGCCAGCTTTACACATGCTCACACTCGCACACAGAGACCATATGCTCTGTGCTGTAGCTAGAGTTGTCCGGTATCCAGCTCTGTAGAGCGTCACAACCAGTGCATGAATACATGCCAGAGGTCCTCCCTTTCTCATGACCTGTGTGTATGACAACTGTGTGTTAAGGTTAAGTCACAAAAAGCTTGGTTGAGGTTGGGGAATGATTGTGGTCACTGTTAAAATAAACCAAAGTTGGAAGATGGTAGGGAAAGCTGTCACATAGAAATTAGGTTCATATAATTGTTACATTGTGGTGATAAATGCAATCATTGGCTGGATTATGTTCAGAGGCAATATTTTTTTAAGTGAAACATTTACCTACTGCTCCAGAGTCGCAGAGAGGTTGTGTGGGTGGATGTACAGTGCAGGACTTTGACACACCCATTTTTTCTGTATTAAAACAATTATCTTTGAATGCAGTAATCAACAAGCAAATGTTGTATTCCAAGATCAAATATTTTGATGGAAAGAAAAATTTGCTGATACATTCAGTGTTTATTTATTAACATTTACTCTTTTTGTCCATAGAAAATGCACTCTGGTATTACACATTTGTTGTTGCACATAAGTTGTGTGTAAATGTAATTTCCTAAGGAACAGAATTGAGGAAAAGGGACGCAAACAGCCGTCTCCTTAAGAGGTTTTGCAGTGTTATAATAATGTCATTATTTGGTAGACCACAAGTTTTTCCTTTTTCTGGTGAAGACAGTAGATTAAGATAAAAACCTATAAAGAGTTGCAGAGTTGGGGGATACTTGTGGGCTCATGAGAAACCACTCCCATAATATAATACATATTATCATTGAATTTAGTGTTAACAAAATATTAATGAAGCTTTATGAACAGGAAACAACATGCACACTTCAAAGACTTTTTATTTATGTGGTTGGGGTGGTAAGGGGTATCACCATTCATCAACAAAATTTAGTCAAACTTACTGTTGGTGGAAAGGCTGGTTGTCAATCCAACCTCTATTTATTTTTCTCACACTGGGTAGAAAAAAGATCCAGACTGAATCAGGGCTCAGACAAAGAAAGTGGGAAAGAAAAAGAAAAAAGCTAAGGAAAAAGGGCGCAAAGAGAGAGAGAGAGAGAAAGAGATTTATGTACGAGAAAAGAGATAAGAGAAAAGACTGCCCCCGAATAACCAATTTTACATACACATTTTAAGAAATATAAGAATGTAATCTTGAAAGAAAAGGAGGACAGCAACAGCATTGAACTTATCAAGTTGTTACTCCCTGCATGTGTCTCAGAGGGGACAAATTATTTTCACTCAGCCACACCTAGCTAACACACACACACACACACACACGTTAGCACAACACACAGACGTGTAATACACCACATTCATTATCTAGTGTGATTTTTTTTCAGAAACACACACACACAGCAGAAGGCCGCAGGGGATCTGAGGAGGAGCTCAGAACTCCTGAGAGACAAAGATACAGGGATTTACAGTGTGTTACAACACCTCCGAAACACCCTTGTCCTGCACACTTTCCCCTATCTCCAATTTTCACCTCAACATGCCTTGGCATGACTCTTCGAGGTCAGTTTTCCCAAGGCCAAAGAAAACACTTCTAAATTCTTTTTTTTCTTTTGTTTAAGCAACCTCCAATGTGTGGAGGTGTGTGAGTGTGTGAGGGCGAGATTTTATGTAAAATTCAGATGTGTTAAGAAAAAGACTGCTATCATACCTAAAGAAATAGTTTTACACAAAGAGACCACTGTAGGTTAAAATTAAAGCAACTTTTTGTAAAATGTGGTTGCGATTTGGCACCCCTGTTTAAAATGTGATTGTTATGATTACATTACTTATAATCAAAAACTATGCTAACACAGCCAAACATGAAGCAATTGCAAGAACACAAGATATAGCAAGCCAGCTAATATTACTTACTAGTCCGACAGCAAGAAGGCCTTTGCCCGCTTGCCAGGCCCCGCTTCTGGCACGACACCGCCTACACTCCCCATGAGAATTCCCCACTGGCTCTCCCTTGCCCCTGGTGTAAAAACCTCCTCCTCCCAGCAGTCAACAGCTCCTTTGCTAGCGGTGCAAATATACCAACCCTCCCTTTGTGCCTTGAGCTCCCAGTCCAGGTAGTACAGCTAAGCTAATAAGCTAACAGCAGCTACATTCAGAAGCAGTGACTTTACTGTCCATCAGGAAGCTGTAAATCACAGAGAGTTAAGGCAGAGCAGTTGGATGACATCAGATGGAAAACAAGAAATAAATTCTCCATAAAATATGATCCAGTTTCACTAAAATTAGTGTCATAGTCGGTCACTACTGGTGTGACTACTGGTGCAAAACATAAAGTGTGTACTGTAAAGTTATATAGTGGAAGAACAGAAGTACTGGACACAATGTGGGATTGACAGATACATCTTCACCCTTCTTCAAGTCAGTGTATAGCATCAAAATGATTTAGATTTTTCTGTTATTTTAAGGTTACACAAGTTACATAATGGGGCTTTAATGTTTAAATTAGAAACAAACTGTAGAACCCTAAAAAATTTAGAAATACTAAATTTAAAACCAGCTAAAATAGACAGTTGACAGTATAAACACTTCATTAAAGAATATGTTGTGGTAACTTAATCTTCAAGTGGGTCACATTAGGGTTCATTGCAGTTAGCAGTCAACCTGTATGTCCTCATATGTTGTCAGTTTGTTCATACTGGGAATAAAACAGGTTTCAGTTCTCTGAAGCAGGTGTCAAGGAATGTTTGTTCCATCTAGTGTGTTTAGATAAATGACCAATCATTAATTAACTCATTCAAATGTTTAATTAAATTAACATGCTAAAGAACACGCTGCTTTATAGCGATGGCTTTGTAAAAGGTCTTTTGATCACTGGACACACAGATTGGGTCTTATTTCAAGCACTATTTCAGTCTCCTCTAACAGTACTGTATGTGTGTGTGTGAGAGAGAGAGAGAAGTGTGTGATGACGAGCAGTGGGTGCAGGGGACATTAGGTCTTTCTGACTGAGCTTCACATCAAGGCTAAAATAGAACAGCTCCATCTCTCTTACAAGCAAACATTGAACAGGAAACCACAGACACACACTTAAAGTCTATAATACAACTTTAAAATAGCTGGTAAGTGGGCACACACACTCACAGAGGGAAGGAGACAGAAAGTGCACATGAATAGAAAGAAAGAAAGAAAGAAAGAAAGAAAGAAAGAAAGGAAGGAAGAAGACATGGTAAAACACACATACAAAAGCGGACACACACACACACACACACACACGCTTCCAGCACTGTGGTACAAGACTGATATAGTTAACCACAGAGCTGATTGAGTTACACTGATTTACTGCTTCCTATGCCCCTATCATCATCTGCCATTAGCTCCACACACACACACACACACTGATTTTGTAATTCTGTTTTCTATTTAGTTTCATTCTATTTTATATGTCCTCTTTTCTCTCTGGCTGGGGGAGGAGGTTGGTAGAAACATGACCTCTGGGGCTGTTGGAGGAGTTCATCAGTGAAGCGTTTTGGGACCCCGCCAAAACAGAAGGAAGAAGGCTCTCTCTGTGTGTGTGTGTGTGTGTGTGTGTGTGTGTGTGTGTGTGTGTGTGTGTGTATGTGTTTGCGTGTGTGTGAAGAACAGAAGGAGGCTGCTGCCTTTATTGATTCTTGCTGGGTTAGACTACATTTTGATGGAGAAACATGCAGCATTTTATCATCCATTTCCAAAATGACATATTAGTGTAATTACCATCATACAGACTTATAAAAACTAAACCATAAAGAGTGAGTTTTACATTGTGTACAGCTGCATCAGATTTTGCATGATTGACAGAGGTGCTGGGTTTATGGGAAATGTGGTTTTGACCGGTGTGAAATTCAGGCTACTAATTATCTTGACCATGGTTTCAACAATAGAAAATAGTCATAAATAAGCACCCCCATTGATGCTACAATGCTAGATCAGCATTTTCAAATGATCTATTCCAACATTCATCCAACACCCAGCCACTTTCAGTGTTTCTGTCTTAATTTAAATCTTTTCCTAAATGCGGTGCATGTGTTGTCAAATTGGTCTTAAGTTGTGGCACACTGAGCTCTTAGAAACACCATACAATGTATGACTTTACATGGATTTTAGGTTGTAAGCTCATAATTCTGAAGATTTCTTGCAAGAAAAGTTGGATTCTTAACCCTGCCTGTGTATTACACATAAAGTACATCCATCATAATTTGTTTTATTATCAAGTTTGCTATTTCTCTGAACTGCACTTACAGTAGGCACAGCAATGCAGTGTGCTGTAGTAAACAGGGAAACAAGTTTTCCAAACCAAAGACCCTGTTTGGCTTTCTGAGGTGTCCTTGAGCAAGACATTGACTTCTCACCAACTGCTGGCATGATGTTCTGTAACTGAGCCTGAACATCTGACCTCTCAAACATGGAGAGAGAAATCTATTGAGGACAGTATTAAATGCACAGGCAGGGACAAGTCAAAGTTTACATGTTTCATGAATTTTTTTAGAGGGGATATTCGCTGCACACATTTTTGAACAATAACATTACTGCATTGACAAATGCTTTGGAGTTGCAGAGCGTAATACTGTGTGTGCAGCGCTGCATTTGTGTGGGCAACACAGTGGATTTTGTTGTGTGTGCTTTTGGGGTTTAATGTATCACAAATATGGATGTGTGCAAATGAGTGGGCATGAAAGCAGGTAAGTTTTTAAGACTTTTCTTTTTTTGTTGTTACATAAAGAAAATCTCTGATGGTTACCTGTTCCTTTTGTGTCCCTGTCAATGTGGAGAGACAGACGAAACTGGACAGCTGTCAGCACATAATGTATCATAGAGTTAGTCGTGACACACACACACACACACACACACACACACAATTGTGCACTGTTTGAACTGGGGCAATGGGATTATATTCAGTTCAAAACATAATAGAGGTGCAAACTGGGATGAGCTGTTATATTCTCAATGCTCCTCAAAATGGAAAAACATACTATAAGAGAAGCCATTTGGTAATTTGACAGGCTCAGCCTTTGCTGCTAGAGAAGATCTCCATATCGAGAAGAAAGCTACATTTTTGCAGGTGGGAACAAAAGAAGAATTAGAGTCCCAGTTTAAACTGCTGAATGTTTTATTAGGTTTGAACGAGGCAAGGAGCATTTTGGCAAGAAACTACACTCTCCAAATTACAAGCGGGATTTTAAACTTGGTGATTGGATGTTTCTTAGAGTTGTGGTTGATTTCTCCCTTTAAGTTTATAAATGCAGGCTTCTACCTTTGACTTCATCTCAATGTTCCAGATGTTTTATTGCACAGTTGCTCATCTTTTGTACTGATGATTCAACTGGGAAACTTTTTCCATCCAAGCCCTGGAAGAAACAGAAAAACAATTTTTTTCCCCAGTCGCTGCCATATAAAAGCTGATATTGTTGTAACGTAAAATGGTGCTAATATCCAAGCCAGAAAGAATGAATTTTGGTTCTCCATTTTCACCACCAGAGCACTAACTGTTTTTATTTATTTTTGTTTTTATCTCTGTAGTTACGATGAGTGTGTTGGTCCAGGTTCGACTCAGATTTACATACCAACAGATGATCCACCTCCTTACTCCCTATTGGACCCCTGTCAGAGAGGGGCAGAGCAGGAGGAGCAGCCTAACTACACCAATTTGGATCCTTCTCCATACTGTGGCGAGACCTCGGCCAGCGCTGCCTGGTTTTCCCCTTCCCACTACCCACTGGGACTACAGGGGCAGGAGCATCAACACATTGCAGCCATTTCTTTCCCGCTGGAAGCGGCGCCGCCTTATGAGTCAGTGTTGGCCGAGCAGGGACAGCCCCTCCCTCTCATGCCGTGTAACCTTTATAAACACCAATCAGAGAGGGGGGATGATGGCAACTCCCAGCAACCAGGGGCGAACCAGATCTCATAGGACAATTCATTATTTTTCTTTCACCTGCGCTGTTGGTTGTCCCCAGTTGAATTAAACAAACACTTGTGATGTGGGACACAAAATGGCTGTTAGGAGCAGCTGTGACACCAAACAATGGACACTAAATGAGATGTACACCTCTTCCACACAGTTGCTAACACCTAATAAGGCTGAAATATTGCTGACGTCAGCCTTTCAGTGGACTGAAATGCAGCCAGGACTCCTTACAATTAACAGTTTGTTTCTGGACAACATACAAACTCACTGATTGCATTGTACTGTAAAGTTTTTGGAATGACAGCTTCTCCCATAAAAAGGTTTGTCGTCCCGATGATGCTCCCTTGGACAAGACTTGCGTCCATCTGGTCATAACACCATTGTCTAATTAAATTTTTGCCATGTTTTGACTGTTAATCTCTCTTTCTTGAATAATTTCATGTGTCATATTTGGAGTTTAGGCAGATTTACTGCTATAAATGTTAACATCTATTCATGATACTGTAGATGATGGCAATTGGCTTTGTCTGTAGATGAAAGGCGGAGTGTAAACAATATCTATGTGCTATTTAATAGTGTAGTTTAAGGTATACAGAAGCACACAGACTACCCCCCTCCCATGTTTTTCTTTTTTTTTGGTATGATCCTCACCTATCAGTCTATTTAAATGATGTTTTGAAAGTACCACTTGTTGTTGTGTATGACATCCTCAACTACCAGAACACCACTGCTGATTGTCAGTCTCTGTAGTGTGTAAACATTTAGAGCAGTGTGCTGTCCTGTTGCTTCCGGTGTGGTGGTAGTATCCTCGCGGTTAGAATGACGACTCTGTAATGAAATGGTCGTGACCATAAATTAATTAGGAAACTACCTGAACAGGAAGAGTGAAATGTCAACACTACCCCCCTCTTTCCAGTTATGCCTTCCAGAGCAAAGCACTATGATGACGTTATGGAAGTCAGTGTTAAATATTTGCAGCATACACTTGTCATCACCAGAGAGGGGGTTTCAACACGTCCACTGTTGTGTCATAACTCTTTCTATCAAGGGCTCTGGTTTTAATATCAATTCTGTAACTGGGACCCCAGCAGTGAAATGTAGCTCAGAGCCCTCCTCCTGATGAGGTTGGGTTGATGCAACAAAGAAGTTACACATTAAACTGTAGACCTTACCACACTGTTCAGTGGAGGAATGGATGCTTCTGCCTTTGTCTTTTTCTCTTTGTTTCCCTCTCCTGAAAGAATTAACTTGACTTGAGCCATTATGGAGGTTTTTCCTTAGTGCACTAAAAGTGTCAGCATCTTCTCAGTTAACCTGCATAAGCATCAGCTCGATTATTAAATTATGTAATTCATCAGATAGCTAAAACTGATGTTACAGCGTGATATGAGTAATAATGTTATTTTCAAAACTAAATAATCTTTGCATTATGCCTTGATTAGTTGATTAGAAAATGTCAGTAAATAGTGAAAAATGTCCATCACAATGTCTTAGAGCCCAATGTGATGTCTTCAAATTGATAGTTTTCGTCCAAAACCCCAAAATGTTTCTGTCTGAAAAAGCTTCAGATCCTCCCTGTTGAGGATCTGAAAAATGACTTGAATAAGTAGATTATAAAAACAGTAGCTGTTTTCTACTAATTGATTAATCATATGTTTCAACAACATCCAACAGATGTGTTACTGCTGATGTATCATTTCCAATACGAAGCAGAGATTATGAATGTCTCTGTGTAGGTGGCCAGATATCAGCTATATGTAGAAATCAACACAGTCTTATGAATGGGCTCTCAGAAACATTTAGATTGAGCAAATTTGCCAAACAGTGAGTACATTCAGCATTAACTTAATACAAAGAGTAACATGAAGGTCACATAGTGTGATAAAAATTACAAGTGCAGAGGGGTGATAGATGTATTCAACCCCAGCACTGCAGCTTCCAGTCCCGTCTTAGTCAACAATGGGAATTTTAATAAATCATAAAGGCATAACAACTTTTCCAGGTTTTTATACCTTATATAGCTTGACCATTGTTTAGTGTAATTTTGTGCATCAGTAGATAAGTGTATTAACGCTGGAAAGAAGAAAATCATAATCCAGGCAGCATTATGTGCAGCCATGAAATATTAAACAAGTTATTTACGGTTGTTGGTGCCCAAGAGCTGAACACCTCGACTATGGCCACCAGAGACCCTGTTACATCAACTCAGGGCTCTCTGTATTTGACATTATTTAACGTATTGTGACAAAGACAGAAGCAAAGGAGCCGTGTTTGAGTATTAGTTGTGTGTGGGGGGAAAACCCGGAAAATCCTGGAAATGGCATCACCATTTATCACCAGTTATTGAAAGGAGGAAGTCATTTAAGACTGAGCTTTAATAACAATGCAAATGTTGTTTAGTTTCAGAATAATTTGTCCAGATATTTGTTTTGTTTTGTAAATTTTGTTCGTCAATTTAGACAATTGTCATTGTATGACATTGTTTTTGTGTTATAAGATGTGCCTAATATCCCTCAGACTGTTAGCTCGAACATTGTAGCCATAATATAATAATCTCGATGCAACTAACCCAGTGTTTTGCACTGTTATGTTTGGTTATGACATGAAGTATTGGTTTACGGGTGTGGTATGGAGGATTGATCATATTGAATAAGTTGTGATGACAGATTTTATTGAGGGAACAAATGAACTCTTTCAAGCTGCTGTCCCAGTGATCAGCTTTGTGTTGTCATTTGGTTTGGCAGTTGATGAGTAAACTGCACAGTTCACATCCTTATTGTAATGTCCCAGCAATGTTTTTAACTGGTTACCCTTCAGAGTTTGTCACTAATGTTAACAACTCTTTTGATTTTATTGCAATGGATCGACTCATTCTTTAACCACCTACAATCTGATTCTCTGTTTGATTGTTTTCTCTTTTCTTTATCTGTTTCTGTCTCTCCTCCTCTTTTTTCTTCCTGCAAGATTCAGGGAATCTTTAAAAAATGCTATTTTAATGTGCAGTTAAAATAAAAACTAAAAAACTGCAGTTCATCTGCTACTAATGCACCGCTCAGTTTCAGTTTCTCCCACAGTGACATTTATACACATGAAGAAATATAAATTGACTGGCTTGATGAGGCCTATTAGTGATTTAGTGATAATTCTATCAGTGTTGCTGGATTGTAAAAATGAGTGTAACTAGAATAGTTTAATCAGCCAAGTAGAATTTAGCTGGTGATCAAGGAATCTGATGTGTTTATGAAATTGACGCTATTAAATAGAAGACATTAAAGGACCTCATATGTTGTGCATTCATACCTTGCATACATCTTGCATTATAGTGCTGGCATATTCAGTCCTGCAAAAAGATGTCTCCACGAGAAGAAACACACAACAAATCCACAGAATTAGGAATTTAAATAAGAAAAATTTAAATACAACATAGACGTTTTTAGAAAATTGTTATGAAATTTAAAGTAACCAGTAGGTCAAATTATATATAAACTCTAACTATATTCTTCTACTAGATTTTAGACACCTCAAATGATCGACTTTGAATAGCTCTACACATTTTTTTGTTCATTAATGTCAGTGGAAAACTGACAAACATAATGCATTTTTAAATTTTTTTGCGTTTTTAAAAAATGAAGAAACACACCTTTCCCCAAACCTCTGCATGGCTCTTTTTTTATCCAGTACTCATTGGCGCTATAACAATGTGCACAAATTCCTCTCTATGTTGAAAATATCATCCCGACCCATCACGCATTTAGAGCTTTACAGTAAACACAGACTCAGTTTTACCATCAAACACCAGAGGGTGATGCAGAACTACAATTTGACATTCAGCTTTTTCAGTCACTATTCAGTAATAATCCACACAAAGACAGGAAGTGTGATCCTGGACGTTGAGTCAGATACCAAGATCACCTGGATCTACTTTGCCATGTTAGTGAGGAGTATTTTAATGCTTTATTAGATTAGAGGAAATGTAAAATGTAAAGATCATCAGGGTTGTCAGTATTAAAGTATTTGTTCATAAAACTGAGAACTAGAGAAATGTATTTTTCAGATTGCTCCAGTCGAGCACATTTGTTTGCATATCGTTACTTTTTCCAGCTAGGATAGCACTATTTTGTGGGTGCATTCTCTGTAAGTAAATGGTATGTAAATGTCTTACATGTGTGTCACTTCCCATCTCTCCTCTCTCTTTCTTTCTTCGTCTGTCAAGACAACAGACTTCATGTATATATTAGAAACTGCAGTCAATAATGTTTCTTTATGTTCTGTATTAGACATTTTGTTAAATATTTTCTTCTGTAGAGAAGAACGAATAAATCTGAACTCTTATATGAATCTGAGTGGCTGGTTTCGAGCAAACACACGATTTGTGAATCAACTGGAAACACACACACACACACACACACACACACACACACACACACACACACACACACACACACACACACACACGACAAGACAAAATGACAATTACAGTATGTGACAAAAATAACTTGTTGTACAGCTTGAGTGAAGACAGCCCCCATCATCCCTGTACTTAAGTATGCCCTGTGGCTCTCATCCCCATTCTGATGAAGTGCTTTGAGAAACTGGTTCTCCAGCACATAAAGAATAACATCCCTGCCAACCTGGACCCTCACCAGGTTGGCTTCAGAAGCAACAGATCCACAGAGGATGTCATCTTCACTGCTCTCCACTCAGTCTTCACACACCTTGAGAAAAACAACACCTCAGGAATCACATCACAGAGAACATCATGGTCCTCTCCAGTGTTGGACAGTAACTCATTACTAGTAATAATATTAAAGTAATAATACTCATTGCCCAGTAACTTGTAGTGTAACTTAATACTAATAGATTGCAGTAACAATATTATAGTTACCATCCCAAAAAATAACTAGTTACAACATTACTTTTATTGGCACCCCCCCAACTAATTTCCAGTCAAATCCTTGGATTCATTTTTTTCCCATCTATGTTTTTTTAAACTAGTGTGGAAGATAGAAATGCTTAGTCCTACCATTACTTTGATTTTAACAAACAAAACCGGATTTTAATGGTTGAAAGTCTGAATTTTGAGGAGAGGGGACACAATCAGCTATTTTGTGGGGACTAGCACAAAAGTAATAACTAGTGGTGTAACTAAATACTGTTGGTAAGTAAGTAATAACATCTCGTTAGAAAAGAGTAACGAGTAATAAATTAAACTTTTTGAGTAACCAGCCCAACACTGGTCATCTCCACTAAGAAAGCACAGAAACGAAAGCAGAATTATCTTGCCAAGTTCTTGTTCATTTTAACAAAGGAGCAATAAAAAGCTGGAGACATCACAAACTTTTCACGGCCCAGGACAGGAGGACTCTGCAGCGAGTAATTAAAACCACCCAGAAGATCACTGGTACTCAGCTACCCAGCATCAGAGATATTGGTGACGTGACGTGCCTGCACTGAGCCCAAAGGATACTAAAAGACAGCACCCACCCAGCCACAGCCTGTTCACCCTGCTGCCATCTGGGCAGAAGTACAGAAGCTTCTGTTGCCGTACCACCAGACTTAAGGACAGCCTCAGGTCGACTGCTTAATTCATCCCCAGTACAAAATAATATTTTTCATATATTTCACATATTTCATATTAATGAATAATTCAAACTTGTGATTTTAAGACCTGCGTGAACATGTAGAATTAATTAATTAATTATTATTGCAGTGTTTTCCTGCAATAATCCTTTTCACACTCAGGGTCCACAGGAGCAAGTGAAGACAGTATGACACAGCTGTAGCTGCAGTCCCTAACCCCTTATCCAGTTGTAATTTACCACTAACACAATAAATTCCCAACCCACAGTGCTGTACTGCATTTCCAGTTCAGGTTAAACAAGGTTTTTCTTGCTAACATTCCTGAAACATATTCCTCACTATCAGAAGCAGTTAGACCTAAACCGGATGTAAATAATAACCATAAGAATGAATGAGAAATGACATCATCTCAGTTTCATCCCCTTCTGCCTACATTATCCACCTGATGTGGATATAAAAACCCTCAAATTAAATCAGCACTTTAACTTCATAGTCATTGTCAGTGTGTTCACAATGGAAAACATGTCGCTACTGTATAGTGATTCTTTCTGACTGCCATGTATCGCTAACACAATCAGTTCAGTTAACTTCTATATCTGTTTAGAGTTGTTTTCCATGCACTGGGCTTCTGAATATAATTAGTGAGTCATTTATTTTTGGAACCTTTCTTTTCTAAAACTGACCTGGGTAGATTTTTAAGATGCTTTAGACACACAGACACGCCCAGCCTGAGGCCTGTCGGTCTGGTATATGGAGTCAAAGTCACAACAGAGACACCATAAACAGTGACTTCACTGTTAAATATACACTTACAGACGACTGCTGCTGAAGTTTAACAGCAAAGGTGAGTTATTATTTCAAATTTCTTTTTTGCTTTTACTGACAATGAAAAAGGATCATTAATTTGTGCCATAAAATGAGAGGACTGACTCTCTTGTAGAAAATGAAAGCCCAGATGGTTTTCCTGCTCTTTTCTCTTGTGGTCGGGCTTAAAGCGACGTCAACTGATTCCCCTGAGGATGATGAAGGTATTTCTGTGTGTTTACCTGTGAGAATGTCTTACTTACACACTTGAGTATTGGCACTAACCAAAGACTTTGTGGATGTGTTACTAACAGCACCTGTTTCAATCTTATAGTTGTTCCAGAGGAAGACGCCATACAACAAATTCTGAATATTAATTTGACTGACATGCAAAGAGACAATGAAAACTCCGGGGTTCCAAAAGGTGAAACTTAAGTACCATTATTTCACTTTCATGTTACTTTCTAAAAGTTATATACTGTACTTGCCTGTCTTTAGAGTTTTGTTCAGACACAGTCTCTCTGTTTCTCTTTTCTCTGCTGCACACCTGCTCTAATGTTAGCAGGAGCTGAGGTATTCTCACCATTATGTGTATTGTATTGAGGTTATTTTTCCACCAGCTTGATGTGGGAGGAATGTTAAGAATTTCATGCTGTGGACAGGGCGTTCTTATCTGAATGTATGTATGTCTTTGTATTTTTTGTATAGTTTGTATTCATATTCAAGTTAAAAGAATATTTTTATCCAAGCACATAGCCTCCTTTATACCAGTTTGTACTTTACTTTCATGCTGTCCCACAAACAGAGAGAAGAGTGTTGCATGCACACACAAGTAGCCCATAAAACATGGAACTGGTGTATCTTTGATATAACACAACACAATTTTCACCAGGCCAATAACTTTGTAGTTTCTGAAAATCTAAAGGTAGTACATTCATTATGTGTTACTGTAAAAGTTGTTTTCCAAAGAATTACACCATGCAACAACAACATTACAAAAACAAGGAAGTGAAGGTTGCTATATGAATACTTATCTCAAGCAAGTCTCTGCAAGTGGGCTTTCATATCACACAAAACTGACTGCAAACCAAGGCTGCCTGACGAGGAGGGAATTACTTTTTAAAAAGTATGCAATGAACTAATAGTTTTCTCATTTTTTGTTAAAGGGCTGAAACATGTCAAATAACACTTAAACTCTAAGTAGCTGATCTTTACACTTTGCCAACATGTGAAAATACATGCCAAGTCAAAGTCATTCACACACATACAAACCACATTTATGTAAACAGAATGTCATCTTCTCAGTGTCTCTACAGCAAAACTTTTTTGAGAGTGTGTTGTTATTGTGCTATGGTTACCTGGCTATTAATATGTAACAAAATGTTATACATTTCCTTTGTAGGAAAAGACGTCAGTCGGTGAGCAAGAAAGAAAACAGCTTTGAAAACGTCCCTCTATATCAGCCCCAAACTATTCCAGCCAAAAGATGTTAGAATAAAATACAATAAATAAACACAGCAATAAAATCCATATCCTTGTCTTAATTATGTTTTCTAATTGCATTTTATCAGGATAAAGAGGGTGATTCCATTTTAAAAGGGGGACAAGACACGATTTTTAATGATAATGTTAATATTAAAAATATATGCATTTTATTATATTTATGGTCTTCTTCGTCTAGTTTGATAGTGTACAGGTTTGTTAGTCTGTCATATCCCTATAGCATAAAATTAGCTAACATATGTTATGTTATTGTTTTATGCAACTACATGTGCCCAGGCTATCTGTAAGACCAAAAATAAATAAATAACATTGCAGTAGTTTCATATAAAATTAGACTGCAGAGGATGTGCAGCTTTCCTGTACAAATACAATCTGGAATAAAAAAAATATTCCCTTACTAAAACACAATTTTACTAAAAGTCATCATATGTAATAAAATGCCCAGTAAAACAAACATAGACTAGAATGTTGTTAATCTCAACTAAATCACATTTTAAAAAAAATAAAAAAAATCTCAAATGTTACTGTTTCTTGAAATATATTTCACTTTATTGTCCCTCCACAGAAAACATGCCTCTAAAATACATAAAATATAATTCAATTTATAACCAAAACTAACAATATAGACTTTTAAAAGTAAATAAAACGAAAATCTATAGAGGCAAGGGACATGCATTGTATTTAAACCTGCCATGAACTCTTACGTGTGGCTTTTTATTTTTGACCTGCTTGATGCGTATATTTGCCTATATTATATTGTTTTACACAGTAACAGTGTTGGAAGCAGAATGATGCATAATAAGGATCCTGATCTATAAATACTGGATAATGTGGGTTCATATATTATTATCATTTGATAAGCTGACGCCTATGAACCCCTCATGGCCTTTACCGTGTCGCCCTCTAGTGGCCCATTCGTGCCAATACATATTCAGTCCTTACAAACAGCAGCTGAACTCACACAGAAACTTCAGTTAAATTAACTAAACGTATTTAATATCGCTCATTTGGGTCAAATTGTAAAAAAGATTTAAAAAGGGAACAGGGACCGGAGAGAAACGCCGCTGTGTGATAGTGTTACACAAATGTCAACAGTGTCTTTTCCCTTAAGAAAGTTGTTGGTTGCCGGCTGCCATGTGATCCGTCTGCCGAACTCAGCCAGAATGTCAACCGTCTTTTGTAGCCTGTTGCACGGTAAGCGACACCCCTCTTCCTCGGTGTCGACCAACTGAACCGCAACACGTCGACGCTGTACCACAGAGGGTATTCCCGGCCTTTTAAATTCAGGCTGAGTTTCCAGTGAAGTTTGCCGGTGAACAGGGAGTTTCAGCAAGGAGCAAGCAACATGCGCTCCTTAGTGGGACTGGCTGCCATTGTGGCGGCGGCAAGCGTTTACCTCTACCTGCTGTCCACTCACCTTCCCCCGGGACCGAAGCACGTCCAGTCGGACTCCGCGGGGGAAGAAGTCCAGGAGTTCAGGTAGGGCTAATGGAAACAAACAGTGCAACTCTATAAAGCGATTTCAAACTTAAATGTTGTCTTCTTAAAATACAGAAGAAGAAAAAAATTAACACATTATTAAATTATCTCTACTGTTATCCAGTTGGGGATTTCCCAGATTAAGATTATCTGAGTGTCTCTCAAACTCTTATTCATATTTGGTTTTAATCAATTTCAATCAATCAAATATCATCAAAAGTGATATTTAATGTTGTTACACACACAGGTAACAGTCAACAGACAACAGCCACAGTATTTATTCATTTAAGTTTCTGGGTATAAACTGGTTTAAAGTAACTAAGTACATCTACTCAAGTACACTTTTGAGGTACTTTACTTGAGTATTTTCATTTTCATTTACTTTTACTTTTTGATTTTGATACCAAGTATTGTAATTTTCACTCCACCAAATGTATTTAAAAGCTTTGATTACCTAATTTGTAGGTTCAGATTATTAACACAAATATAATCAAATACATTATTATGTATAACTATAATTTATAATTATATAATTATAATCCAGTGATAGAATACATTCGTTGAAAGGGGTCATTCTGCAGAATGATGAATTGTTATTTTGGTACTTGTTGCTGATACATTTGTACTTTTACTGAAGCTACATGCCTTCCTATTACTTGTAATAGATTTTTTTTTACACTCTAGTCTTACTTAAGTAAAAGATCTGAGAACTTCTTCCACCACTGGCAGTGAATCAGTGGTTGGTGGTGTACTGGTGTGGGTTTCCCCCTACATAACAGTAACATGAACATCAGGTGTCATAGGAAATAAATGACCCACAGCCATGATTTAATCTTTTTTCCAGTCTTGTTTTATTCCCCCTTTGACCTGTCATCACAGCTTGTGAGCATATCAACCAAAGAGTCGGTGTCCCTCCTCAGATGAATCCATCTGAATCATTTGAGGTGAAAGAAAACAGCAAAAACACGAGAAAGTTAAAGAGTTGTCGTCATTTTATGAAGCAGAAATTAAAGCCCCAAAGCGTTGTTGTTGTTGTGACCCCTCGTATTCCCCCGACCCTCAGACTGGAAACCACCAGACTAGTTCCCATCAATTGTGTTGGCAGTGCATGCTGGGATAGGATCCCTATGAGGGTGAATATATGTATAGGCAATGAATGAAGGAATTAACAATCTCTTCAAATAGCAGTCAGCTGTACTTAAGTTTTGTCTGTTAGAGCATATTTTTAGTGTTCTAATATTTATAACATCAGTCACCTGAAGATCTAATAATAATATAAAATATAAAAAAAAAATCTTTCCTTTCTTTCTCCCCCCTGCAGTACATTTTGGACTGATCACATTACTCCTCAGACTTTGTGTTTTATCTATTAGTGTGTGTGTGTGTGCGCGCGTGTGTGTGTGTGTGTGTGTGAGTCTTGGAAGTGGTATGTTGAAATGTGCCCAACAGTCAAGTGTGAGGTTGTCTAGGGATGATAGAATAACGCCGACCAAGACACTCTGAAGCCAAGAGCAGGACCCATCTGTGTGTGTGTGTTTGCACCCATTAAATTGATATTACCCGTATTATACTGTTACTTATCAAGTCATTTAAAGATGTGGCGAGTGCACTCAGTGAAACTGCATTTGTTGGCATCCTGTTTTCCCAGTCACGCATGTGTATTTCTGTTTGTGTGTGTGTGTGTTAGTAGCAGTGTGGTCATGGTACTTGTCAACATAAAGTCATTTATTTATTCATGTAAGTAAATTTGAAACCAAACAAGGTTGGCCAAAATACTGTGTGAAACAAAAACAGAAACCTAAACTCAATACACTGAATTAAAGTGACAGCACAGGACACATGTTCAAGTATGATAGTCCTTTAATCAAACTCTACCACTCTGGGGCAGCAGCAACAAAGACATGACTGGCTTTTAACATCAGGCGCCTCGGTGGGACAGACTTGGTTAGGTGACCTGATAGTGGAGTTCATAAGCATCATATTGGCTCAGTTATCTGTTTGGTCTGATGCCCTGGGAGCGTTATTGTCAAAATAGTAATACTACTTCTTTAAATATAATCACATACACCATATATGTTCATATTTTCTGTTAACTTACATCTTTTAATTTCTGGGATGAACCTTTTGTTTTTTGGTCTCTATAAAATGTTATTTGATGTCACTAAATATCTCAAAGAGGGTCTCTCTCTCTGTGTGTGTGTGTGTGTGTGTGTGTGTGTGTGTGTGTGTGTGTGTGTGTGTGTGTGTGCGTGTGTTTTGTGCTGCTCTTAGGGCCGCAACAATTAGACAATTAATGGCCAAAATGTATGTATAATATATGTGGGTTCCAGGCTCAAATGTGAGGATTTGCTGCTTTTCTCCGTTTTATATCACTAAATAACTTTTGCTTATGGACTAACAGAACATGTCACCTTGGCCTCTAGGAAATTGTGGAAACTGTGTGGCTGCTTTTCACTATTTTCTTACATGTTATAGTCTTTAACAGCAAAAAAAGTTGCCAAAGTTTAGTGCTGCCCTAGTTTCTTTAAAACTCTATCAACATTAAAGCTCATACGATCCAGCTTCATATCAGCTCTTAGTTTCTTGTTACTCTGCATGAGGAGCCTACCCCCCTGTATGAATACTGTGTGTCTCATGGGGTTATGCATAAGCAAAATTAAAAGTGCCCACGATGACACATTTCCCCCCTTAAATACACTATACGTACATTCATGCAGTTTCACATATCCAAGCGCTTACGCATCATCAACCTGCTGACCAATGACAGAACAGAGTTTTTGTCCACTGACCAGTAGATACAAGGAATGCTGAATGTCAGAGCAGGTGGGAGAGGAAGTCAGCATCTTGAGTTTCAAGGGGTGGGGGGGCGGTTGCTGTGTGAGAGAGAGAGAAGAGAGAGAGAGAGAGAGAGAGAGAGAGCCTTCCTACCCTCTGCTCAAGTCTACAGGCAGCAGCACTATTTCTGTCCCCCAATCAAGTGTATCCTGTTACACTCCCACTCGTTTTTACACACACGCACCGCCGTCTCCCTCCTTTCTAATATGATCTTTCCTTTCTCTCTGAAGTGTTTTGCGGTTGTTGTTTTTTTGTATGAAGCTTTCCACTCAAATTAAAAACACTTACAACACAACTTACCCATAGTGGTATCTAGTCAGGCAGACACAGCTGCTTTAGTTCATGGTGCAGTATGAGTACGGATCTCACAAATCCAGAAATGTAGTAGTTGAATGTAAAATGTTTTTTGCCCCCAATCCCCATTTAATATCTGCAATGTATGTTCCTTAATAATACAGATGAATAGCTCTGCATTGCACTAAGGAAAAAAAACTGCATGTAACCAAGATGTTCCTTAATGTTTTATACATAACGTATTAATATTAATAGATATTTTGTATACTTTACATATTGATATTAATTATACTAAATAAGTAATAAAGGATATAAAATAGCTTAACAAACAGAAGAATTGCATCCTCGTTAAGATTTTCGCATTGACTTGGTACCAAAGTATCAGTTCTCATCCACTTCATGAATAAAAACATTTAAAAAAGCAACTTGCCTTTCCAAGAGAGTCCATGTAAACCTGGATGACAATGTCAACCAGTATTATTGAGTATTGGTTGGAGTTTAATGTTAGGTATTCTTAGAAATGAAGCACATCATCAACAGAAGAAGGAGAAGTAGATGAAGCGGGCTGTGGGAAACAGGACACAATGAAAAGTAAACACCGTGTGACAGACCGATGTGTACGGGCTTCTAAAGGTTTGATTTGTTCATTCAGAATTAGCTGGAAAATCCTTTTGTGTCTTTCCATCCAGGCTGAAGTTCCCGTCGGACCTGGATGAGCTGCGGGAGCTCGCGGAGATGCTCAAGTTTTATAAAACAGAACATCACGGCTACGTTCTGCTGCTGTTCTGCAGCGCCTACCTCTACAAACAGTCCTTCGCCATACCTGGCTCCTCCTTCCTGGTGAGACATATACACATGTACACATACTGTACACACACAATTGCGTGATTTTAACAAAACCTGCATAGGGGATAAGCTCTCTGTCTTAAAACATACAGTTTGGTCTGAAGGAGTTCATCTCAGAACATCTCTGTCTTAACAAGTCATCTTTTTATTCATGAAGAAAACATGTATGAAAAACAAACACATGACATTATATTGATTGTAGTGTAGATCTGCCTTACTCCTTCTTGCTTCCAGATGCCGACACTCATTTCACAATTGCCAAACATGTGGAGGAATGATGCACAGTGTTTGGTTGACACAAAATGATTTTAATCCAACTATCTATTCTTCCCTCCCTCATTCAGAACATGTTAGCTGGGGCGATATTCGGGCCGTGGGAGGGTCTGGTGTTGGCATGCCTGCTCACCACTTCAGGCTCCACATTCTGCTTCCTGCTCTCCTCTGCGTTTGGAAAGCAGCATGTGGTTCAGTTCTTCCCTGAGAAGGTGGCCCTGCTGCAGAGGAAGGTAAGCGTGAACAGTAATCCTGTTCAAAGTTTGTTAAATTAAAATTCAGGAATTATACATTTTCTATGCTGTGTTCTCAGTATCTTTATGCAGAATCTACATAAACAGGAGGTTACTGGTTTTCGGCGACTTCTTCCTTCATTTCCTCACACTATCTTTCCTTTTATCTTCCTTCTTCCCTCTAATCTTCCTCCCTCTGTCAGGTGGAAGAAAATCGTAGCAGTTTGTTCTTCTTCCTCCTTTTCCTTCGTTTCTTCCCTATGACTCCTAATTGGTTCCTTAACATCACCTGTCCTGTCCTCAACATCCCTATGCCCATTTTCTTCTTCTCTGTGCTCATAGGTGAGACTACACACACACACACACACACACACACACACACACACACACACACACACAACCACACACACACACAACGCAAACAGATACAAACACTGAACACTCGGCTGCTGCTTTCTCCTCCAGGTTTGATCCCCTACAACTTCATCTGTGTTCGCACTGGCTCCATCCTCTCAAAGATCTCCTCTCTGGATGATATCTTCTCCTGGGGGACGCTGGCCCAGCTCCTGGCCATCGCCCTCATGGCTCTTGTCCCTGGAGCTCTGATCAAACGGTACAGCAAAACTCACCTGAAGGTGGACGGTATGGACAGTAATGGACAGGCTGAAATTAAGCAGGACCGCAAGAGACGATGATTCTGGGATAAAAGAGGACTCTCTGGGTTTGGTTTGACACAATATCATGTAAGAAGGGAAAAAAAAAAACTCTCCACTGGCAGGCATGTGACATTTCAGCCTCGTGATTTCTGTAAGGTCACACCAAAGGCCATCATACTTATAGTGTGATCTGTTCTGAAAGTTTGGAAATGTCTTCAGGTCACGTTACACCAGGCTTTAAGGCTGCAGTTTCCCAAAGATCTCTCAATGCTAATACACAGAGCTAAGGTTTTAGGGAAATCTTCTGAGATGGGCCCTGAAAGTCCTTGGATTTACACCAAAATATGGTCTTAAAAGTTAAAAGAGGCTGAATGGTGGCTTAATTGAATTGAATTAAATCACACTGATCATCTTGACATGAGATCATTGTTTTAAAAATTGGCCTTTAGAGTTGGGGTAAGGGATTCTAGATAATGCTAATTCACTTGTATTCAAATTCAGCTATATCTCCTCACGGTCCGCTAGCTCCAGGCTCTGTGTGTGCTGCTCTGTGTGCCGGCGTTTGTTCACAGCCCTGGCTCTGTAAATTGGAAACAAGCAGTGGATCGGAGTAAGCCACACAACGCTAACTTGTTTTTCCAGCCATTCCAGCCAGGATTTGTGTGTCAGGTAACATTAAATGACTTGCCAAGGGACATTCAGCTCCCTTTCTAGTTTGCCAAGATATGCTGTTGCTTTTGTGATGTTAGCTGTAGTAGCAGGAGAGTTGTGAGTATGGCTGTCTGGAGCTGGTGTGCTGTTGACGCCTCCTCTCTGCATGTTTTTTTAGCAACAGTTTGCATACAACATATCTAACATTAGTTACATTACACGCTGTGTCCTTGTTCACACTATATCATGGTATTTGTCTTAGATCTTCATTTTCAGTCAATTGTTGAGATATTTTAAATTAAACATCCTCTCACTGACATGGTCATTATTGAAATTGTCATACAGTACAGTTTCCATCCCAGGGCCAACCAAGGGCAACCTATCACGCATTAATGGTAGTGGTCTGTTTCTCTCGGTCCACCATGACTGCAGTTGTAAATTTTGACCTTCTGTTCAGTGTATTGCTATTGTGGCAAGTTATCACTAGAGCTTTAAAAGTAATTTGCCCTGTGTAATAAATATGTAGCGTAGAGCTGCAGAGGAAGCCCCACTTGACCCTGCGGTGGAGAAATCTGTTCTGGCTTAAACACGTATGTATGTCCTCACAGACCTTAGCCACGTTTCGTTCCTTTAGTTCTTTGTTGTCTGCTGTGGATGATGGAGATCAGACAATTAACCAGCTAGAGACAATAATGTTTCTTCTTATTGCATATGTTTACTCAGTAATTCAGTTTGCAGCCTTTAAGGTTCCAGGAATTGGATTAGGAGAAGAGAGTGTGTCCTTTCCTAAAGCACTTACACATGTGTCTTAATGTAGTTGTGGCTGTATTTACAAATGAGTTTTACATTAAGATCAGGTGTGATCTTCTTGTGGTGGTATCAAGAAAGAGAAGACAAAATTCATTTGAACAACATAGTGAAATGTGATGCTTTTCTGAAAGCAATCAGTTTGGAGTTAGCAGCTCCCTGAACTGTACTAAAATATGAAGGTATCCTCTTCTAGTCTGAAAGAAAGTTTTGTATGTTTTCTATATAACATTACATACATTATGATCTTGTTGCTGCCAAGCACATTGAGAGTATTTTACTATAGGCTTATGTGCAGGTCAGCTAACAGATTAGGCAAATTGCCTTGCTCAAGAGCACCTTGACATCACCTTTACTACCTCTCTTCTTCACTAAACTGTGTGTTCAGAAGCAGATAATATGTAGGTATCATATGAGGGTATTTGTTCAGTTTGTGGACGTTGGCATACATAGAGCCTTATCTTTTCATCTTACAAAAGAAAACCACAGCTTTGTTTTGAAGTTACTCTCAAGGTAATGGAATTTAGTTTGGAAACAGCCATGAGAAGATCACATCTTGTGCTCCTGTAATAGGCCTTTAACTGATGTTGGTGTTGCACTTTATGTTGGCTGCTGTTAGTGTAACAGCAGTAAGTTTGGTAATGTATTATTTTATTTTTCAGAACAGAGTCTCTAGAGAATAGTCAAATTGTAGCTTCTTCTTTTCGCTTGCGTTTTACAGATCTGGATCGTCTACTGTATATTTCATTAGGTATTTCAGGATGATCTTTCGTAAAATGTACATGTAGTATTTTGTGTATCTAATCTTGTACTGTAGCCTCACAGTGTAGTGACATTCAGGATTTTTACAGCTATGGAGTCACCTTTTTTATATGTCAGTATAGCTGCTCCCAACACAAACAGGGAAAACGTTGGTGGTTCCACTGTTGAGTGTCACGAATGTCAAAAACACCCAAAGTGCCAGATATCCTGTTTTTATCTGCTGTTCACTCCCAACAGTTAAATAAAATTAATTCAATGAGTTTTTTGTCAGCACATTGCAGAGGCAGTCTTATGAATACAATTGCAAGTAAAAAAAATATATTTTTTTGCTTTTGACAATGTTGCTTTAAGTTTTTAAACGGCTTTGTGTAGGTCTCAGGATGAGAGATTTTTGTTCTTGTCTTTTTTGACCAAAGAAAGTTAAAGAAAAAAAAAACTACTCCAATCTGCTCGGGTGAGACGGAATCTTTTTTTTAAATCAAACATGTTTTTTGTGGAATCTGTAAAAATGTAATAAAATCTGTTATACTGTCTGTTTACTGTTTCAGTTCTGAGTTACAATCAAAGACAAAGTAAAACACGTCGGTTTTTGGATGCAAACAGTAGTTTATTTGTTCCTTTCTTGTGGTCACAATCATTGACCCTGATTGATTTACAGCAACACACTTGAAACAAAACATCCACAGTTACGCTGATCCGGTCTACCAACAACACAGAGTTTAAACTACTCATATTAAAATCTCTCTCAGGACTCCCCCCCCACACACACACACACACACACACACACAGAAACTCAAAGACATTTTTGTTCATGCACACAAACACACATACCTTCACATTGGCATAGGCAGGCACTCATTTTATCAATCAGTAAACACAAGGATCGGATGTGAACTGCATAAACTTAAATATGGTGTCAGTTGGCAAAGACACACAAATGGATGTATATGCACATAGATTTCTTGTTTCTGGGAGGTTTGTGATAAAGCTGCAGATAAACAGGAATATCCTTTCTTTGGATGTGATGCTTCAGGTGAAAGGTTGACCTCGCCATCCTCGGATCGCACAACTAGCAAAGGCAACAAAAACCTCAAATCACAGCACCGGTTAGACATTTGTGTGGGCTTTGTGTCTGCTCATATGTGCATATATCACCATCCATCCAATTCTGCCAACACACTGTAAACTTCACAGTAACATGATCACGAATCAGCAGCAACTTAACGGGCAAACAATAGTTGTAGTGTTGACAAACAAATCTGTAAACAGTTCAGTAGTAGTTACGATTAACAGCCTAGACTCATCAACTTTAGTCAAGTCAGTTTTGTCTACAATATAAGCTAGTTTAGGACTTGACTTGTGACTGTATAAGGTAACAAAATCAAACAAAAAATCTAAATGGACAGATGAGTTTTAGAAGGGCTCTGGTGGATTTCTGACACACTTGAGGTCTTTAACTTAATTTCAGGAGTTTATGTGGGATCAGTCTCCTGAAAAACACTGTAGCAAAGACGGAGTCAGTCAACTGGTGCCAGATTTGGCCGCAAAGACTAATATTGCACCTTGGCTGAATGAATCCATTTAGTGATGTGACTGACCACAATAAGTCCCAAACAAATGTTTCAAACTGAAAGCGGCAACACAATTACACAATGCAAAGATAACAAACATCCTCCGCAGCATCATCACAAGACAAATATCCAGTGAGTTGCATAATTTAAAAAATGTGAAGAATTCTATTGAGTCAGTGCAAAAGGTTCAGTGCTGAGCAAAAGTCTGTACTTCTCCGAGTCATGCAAGTAGTCAACGTAGACCAGAGTGGTTAAAAGACACGGCATGCAAAATATCAAACACTGAAATAAGAAAACATGACATAAAACAGAACAGGCAAGGACGCCATTGGCTTTCAGTGGGCAGCCCTGTAGCTCATTGGCTAAGAACAGACATACAGTTCTATCAGTTTATTGGCTGCTCCTATTGTATTCTCACCATGCAAATGTCACATAAATAATACAATGTTTGAGGGCGAATGAATTGCAACTTGTTCTTAAAACAGCTTATTTGTCCTTCACACACTAATATAAATCCTCATTAAGAAATGTACTGGCTCGCAGATATGCAAAAGAAAATAAAGAGGAAAACTTTGACTCTATCTTGTTCACATCTCAAGGTGACTAAGCCAGCTCATTTCAGGGCAGAGGGAAACGTTGAACAAAAAAGTAAATAAATGAATGAATGATAATTGGTCCAGAGACAGGAGAGCTAAAGAACCAGCAGGGAGCATGTTTGCTCTTCTTTCCCCTCTTATTTTGTCACCACAACCCCAACCCACGGCCCCTTGGACAAGCAAGCGGCAACGACCATGAACACCTTAAGACACCTGTCAATCAAAGCAAACACACCTTCAAATATACCACACCACTTGATATCATCTTAAAACAAATCTCTCCAAATTGCCACCAACACGCACATTACAAGAGGTAAAATTGGCAATGGGTTCTTCCAGGGTACTTTCTATAGAATACATCTGTTTCATTGACTTCAATACAGTTTCCTTCCTTCGTTTTCCAGAGCCAGTATCCAGTGGTTGTTGGGAAAACTGCACCTTAAGGCACTTCCTCTTTGGCCCTCAGCTGTGGTGGTTTCCGTTTGGTACCGCCTGCTTTTCTGTCTCCCCCTTCTTTTCTCCCATCCTCTTCCTCCTTGCACTGACTTTCTCCTCACTTCCTCTCACATGTTCTCCGGCCGTCCATAACCTCTCCCCCCCTCTCTCTCCTGTGTGAAGTGGTACAGCAGGGTGGGTTCATCCCTGAAGCGGCGCCGACCTGTCAGGTGATCTAACACTCCTCCCAGCTGGAGTCGAACGCCATACAGTTGAGCCTCGGCACGCCCGGCGCAAAGGCCCCGCTCAATCAGCCAATCCACCAAGTCACTGCCCCCAAACACTCTTTCTAAACGCGACTGAGAGTGTTGGTGGGGATGGAGTGGACTCGAAAGAAGAGCATGCTGGTGTAGGTGGTCACGATTAGCTGGGTCATTAGTTTGGTTACCCTGGAGCTGGGAAATCTGCTCCTCTGGGATATCAGAGTTGGAAATATGTGTTTGGTGTTCATTCTCAGGCCCATGCCAGGGTTGGGATGGAAGCAAATGACTGCTGCAGGATTCAGCTGGATCATTAGTTTGGTGAACCTGGTGCAGATTCTGCGCCTCGTGGTTTAGTTGCTCCTGAGGATCCTGATGAGGGTGTAGGTACTGGGGCTGATGGGAGGGGGACTGTCTCAAAGCCACCTCCTCCAGTCCTCCTTCTCCAAACCTGTCATTATCAGAGGAAGGATTCACCTGTCGAAGCGCTCACACTCTCCCCTGAGCCACTAGGGGGTGATAAAGGGAAAAGGAAAGGGGAAAAGGGCAGCCAAAAGGGAGGCGGAGAGGAATAAAGGAAATATGAGGGGAAGGATGAAAAGCATTAATAAAGAGGAGGAAGGAGAAAGGAATAGTGGAAAGCATTTTATGTGTTAGAATAAAAGAAAAGAAAAGCACCCAAGATTCATAAACACCCAGAAAGTATTTTAGTATGTAGAGTTTAGTAGCAGAATAGCTACATTTCACATTCAGTCTAAATAGTTGACCTAACATTGGCCTTTTTTTCCCTCAAGAATTAGACTACTGCTATAGCCTGCATTACTATAGCCTGGTTAAAAAAATTATATGAAACAATAATATTACATTTCTAATAGTTGAGAGGCAATAGCAAGAGTCAAAGCTAATGCTTCTTCTGTACAATTATTCATATCAGCTAAATTAAGTGGATAAAAAGCATGGTGAAACTCAAGAGGTACAACATACAGTAGTCAATTTGTTTTAAGAGAAAGAACTACTTAGTGGATACAGAACCTTAGCAACTGCAGCAAAACAGATGAACAGATAGATGACATGCAAAGAGGATGCAGCGAAAGATTACTGAAAAATCAAAGGGAAACAACATAATAACCCAATGTTAATAATGTGGAAATTAACAGGGTCAGAACTTATCTTGCAGGGACATAGCTGAACAGTTCAGATCAGAACTAACAAAAGAGAACTAAATCAAAGCTGGAACAAAATCTCCATGGTCATTTACTTTCCATAAGCAAACAAGCACAACAAAATGAAGGAAATTGATATCAATCTTTCAGCACATAATTACATGCGACAAAACGTACAGTAGGACACATGCAAATGTGACAAACAAAACACACACTAACTAGTACCGATACCTGCGTGTGTGTACTATGTCTTGTACACACTGGTCTTTGTGGTAGCGGACAAACTGGGTACAAGTGAGCCTGACCTCCTCTGGTACACCTGAGGGACTCAAATCCTCGCTGTCTCTGCCCTGCCACAGCCCCAGCAACCTGACACAGACACAAACATTATTTTAGTTCTGTGTGTCTCATTTGATCTCAAAGGAAACCATGATGAACAAGTCAGGATCTGCAGATCTTCTAGAAGTCTCACCTCTTTTTAAAAGGCAGGATGATGAGGTGTCTGTCCAGACCAAAAATCCCAAAGGACAGGAAACCCTGGGACAAGGACAAAGAGAATTATGTATTCACAATTAAACATGTTTACACGTTTAATGATGACACACACACACACTGGTACCTGTCCATAGTTCGCCACAGCACAGAAGAACTGTAGTTCAAGGTAAAGTCTTCCAGGATCTTTGTTGAACAACCACCACAGACAGCTGGACAGGTTCTACGTATACAGACAGTGACATCGACCAATTAGACATCATTTAAGTTATCCCTTATTGATCCCCGTAGGGACATTCATTCTCTGCATTCGACTCATCCTAAGTACTGGGAGCAGTGGGCGGCCACCAACTCCCTATCTGAGCCAGTGCCTTGGTCAAGGACACTGACTGGAGTATTAACATAACATACATGTTTTGATGGTGGGGGAAATGGGAGCACCTGGAGGTGCCGTTTCTGTTCAGGAGATCAAGATGTGGAATTCCATACCAACAGAACTCTGGATCTGGATGGAAAACTGGATCCTGACTGGGATAATATTAGACTCAAACTGAAACAGTATTGAAGAGGAATCAGTACTATAGTCATGAATGATATGGTGCATCCTGTTTTATGATGCTTAGTGTATGTAGTCTGTCCTGTATTGTTCCATCTGTTTTTCTTGTCGAGTTCTGTGTTTTTAATATACCTACGTATTGCTAAGTTTGTGTTTTGTACTGTCTCTTTTGTATTTGCCAAGTTTTAGTTCCCAGGGACAGATTATCTTAAGCTATAAATGTTGTGGTATGTGGTATTTGTTTCTGCTGCATACTTGTCCCTATACAAATAAACAAGTAAACGTCTTCAGCGTTCACACAGAAGAGGGAGATTGTGGCTGACATTTTCTTGGACCGTAAGTTGTGTGATTTCCTTAAAACAAAGAGCATACAGCACTGTTGTTTAAATATGCATATAAAGAGAGATACTGGGTGTTCTACCGGATATGCGACCCTCCATCACCTCAGTAAATTGTGGAAAAACACTACAGTGTGAACTCCGAAAACAACACTGTCCTTCCATCCGCAATAACATGCATCTAGTATCTGGGCAGTGTCTATGTGTGATTACACCAGACTCCTTGTTTTACATCCTGCTAATTTGCTAATTACACTCACACAGTCTCACACACACACTTAATGAGTATTTTATCCTCACCGCTAGCAGGCTGACAAACAGCAGCAGACAGAGGAGAACGTGTCTGACTGTCTGCTTGTCGTCAGTGGTTTGAGGACCTGGTGGCGGCAGGTTCAGCGGCTGCTCAGAGGAGGAAGAACCCTGCTGCTGCCCGTCAAACAGCCCCCCACTGTGGCCTGGAGAGGAAAAGAAACATAACTGTTTGATTTCAGGGCGATTCGAGAAATTTCTCACGTCCTGTTATTTTCATGGTGTTGGACATCATTGCTTACCTTTCATCACAGCTTTCCACTGATTTTGGTTTGGGTTTTTTTCTTCTTTTTTTTTGACTATAAGTAAATTTATCTCAATCTCTATTTTTGACTATGGCTGGCATCTTGCTTTTGCTTCTGTGTTGGTTTGGCTTGATTTAGATAGATTAATGACAGATAGCAGGTCCCAATTGAACTGCACAAAATGAAAACAGATTTGTGTTTGTTACCTGTGCTGTTTGTGTGCTCCCGCTGCGTGCTGGCTATCATGTCCGGTAAGGTCTGGAGAGGAGAGAAACTGTGGAGGTCTGGCAACACACCAGAAGAAGTACAAATATTCAACATTTTAACACATTCGGATAACATCCAGATTTTATACAGGCAAACAGACAGAGGACTGCTTTCGATCCAACTCAGAAAAAACCAAAGGCATTAACAAGGAAGAGCTACCTGAGTTGATGCTGCAGTCAGGTGAATCTGCTGTCTGTGGCTGTTGTTGTTGTTGTTGTTGTTGTTGTGGATCCTCCAGGCCACCAGGGCCCCTCAGCTCACTGATACCTGTTACAGCAGCTCTGCTAAGGGCCTGGTAGCCCCTCTGCTCCCTGTCTCCCTGGCTGAGACCCATGAGAGATATTGCACCAAGCATCAGGCTGACTGCAAGCACCACTGCTGTGCTGATTATCTAGAGTGAGAGAGAACAGCTTATGAATAAAACTTCCTTTGAGATTTATATAAAATTCCTTCTTAGAAGTAAAAGTAGATATCTCCATGACAAACTCGAACAGAGCAGAGGAAAGAGAGGATAGGAAAATACTAATTCATATAAACAGTACAGAGAGAAAAAGGCAACGTAAGGCAGAACAGAAGATGGTGGTTTTCTTACCTGAGCTCTGCCATAGAAAAAGGCAGAGTCTATGGTATCAGTCCTCTCTCCTGATATCAGGAGAACTCCGACCATCAGGAAGGGAATCCTATACACACAAACACACACACACACACACACACACACACACACACACACACACACACACACACACACACACACACAGTTAAAACAACTATATAATGATGATACAATGATATTTGTTAATATCTCAGATCCTAGTAATTTAACAGTGGTACTTTTTTGTTTTAAATAGATTTTGGATGCAGTGATCTTTGTAACAAAGCTATTTGTATAAAAACAATCCACTTGAGGTGTTTGGGTGTGCTGACCTACCCCCAACCCAAAATCATGAATACTCCCGGTCGGAGTCTTAGCAGATCATCTCTGTTAGTCAGAGCCAGACAAAGAGGGATTAAACCTGAAAAACAGAACAAACGAATTACATGCAAGCACCAGTGTGTACATAATCACATTTAGTTCTCAAATATACACACTTACCAGTCCAAATGTAGGTGCTGTACAGAGACCCATAGAGCAGAGTGAAGGTAAAGATTTTGCCGAGAAGATTATCCTCTTTTTTCGCCAAGAAGTTCCACAGGATCATACTGACACACACCAAAAACTAGAACAAAGTACAGTACAGCAGGTTAAGGTAGAATAGGGAAGTGAATGTGAGAAGCTAATGTGCTCAATTAACATTTCCTCGATAAATGAACAGAGACCAAACCAAAAATGAGCTCCAAATATGATTATGAGAAACAACTGGTGAATGACATGCTCTACAACACTTTAAATTAAATTAAAATTCTGTTTTAAGCTTGAAATCACTGACCTGAGCCAGGAAAAGATTTAAGGCAAAGAGGTGAGGAAGTCTGTTAAATTTCCTGCTTAGCAACATCACTATTATGGTCCACACCTGAGAAGAAAGGCACAAGATCAGACATTTTTACGACTGTAGGTTGGAAATCACTTGGTTATTTATCTGTCAGTAACAACTTTCTGTCCTTAAGCTCTAACTACTGCTTACATGTAACCTAACCTAATAAAATCTCTCCATGCTTCTGTTTTATTATCAGTATTTCAGTATTCCTTCCAGTGAGACTTATTGAAGCACGATACGTCTGGAAAACCTACTTACCAGTGCTAGAAGGCAGACAATGCTGATGTTGAAGCTGACATTTTCAAGTTCTGTCACCAGCGGTGTCGGGTCCATTAGAGGAATTGTTAACAACCAGGCCGACACATACATGATCGGTGCAGACAGAAATGTACTGATTACCATCCCTGATGTTACCTAAAAGAAGGACAGAGAGACAGATGTTTCAAAACAGAGGGCACGCCACTAACTGACAGTGTTAACATGTAATCTGGATACAAGATACAAGATTTATATATAATATACTGGATCCGGCAATATTAATGTGAAAAAAAAAAATAGATATAATCACAATTACCTCTTTAATTAATATAAAACCTTTTTCCTGATTAAACTAATGACTCAATTCTAACAAAAAATATTGAAATATACTGTAGCTAATTAGTTAAATTTAAGCTAAATATTAACCAGCCATTAGCAAAAGAAGCTAGCTTGTGTTTCTACTTGCTCTGACACAATTCAGACTTTCTCAAACTTTCCTCAGCCTGCTCCAACACACCAAACATTTTAATAAACAAGAAATGATTGATGTCCATGTTGATAGTGTTTCTTTTCCTTGTTGGCAAAATGAATCTTACTACTACTACTACTACTACTACATGTAAGTAGAGTAGAAGAATGTAACTGGGTGGTGACATGGTGTGGGGGATGAATACTGAGTATTGTAGACAGACTTCTAGCAAGAAATTGCTAAATTGCTTAATTTCCTTGGCCTTTGTGCATGTGATGCTTTTATAGCATATTTTTGTCATGTTACCCGACCAGGAAATTGGCCTTTTAATTCTGACACACTGTGATGATGCCTTGTTTGTAAGTAAACACCCATGCTTCACAGCTGAAAAATATATTTTAAAGTAGTCTATTTTAGTCCTGATTTATCGTAAGACAGCTTGAAGTATCCCCAAATCTCTTCTATTTTATTGTAATGTTTCAAATATTGCTTTGTTGCTTCAGTATTGTTCAAAACTAATTTCTTACAAATTGCTGCTTAACCAGGATTACTACATCATTGGTACTTACCACCTCTAGCTCCATGTTGTAGTGTCCAGCATAGATAGCCACACTGGGTGCAGTTGGGAAGACTCCATATAGGAAAGCAAAGTTAGACAAACTAGTGTGGTTGGCACTTGAGCTGTTCACTCCTACATCCAGAATATCCACCATGTCTTTACAGACTAGTGGCATCACCAGTCTGGAGAGAGAGGAGGAAGAGCAAGAGAAAATAAAACTATAAAACCCTGGTAGCCTCTGCAATTATTACATTTTTCAATTGAATAATTTCAGAAGCTACCAAGCATTAACCTTTCCATTTCTGATGACCACGTAAGACATTTTGAGACTTTAGCTGGCAGTGACATTGCACCAGACTGCATCATATTGAGGTGTTTCTGATTATCTGCCTACTTCATGTATGTACTATAGCTAAATATATTAAGAAATATTTAAAAACACTTTTAATGCATTATCTGTATAGGTCCTGTTTGTGCATGCAGGTATTTCAGACCTGTGTGTGTAAAATAACAAGTGAAACTGAAAGAATGAATTATGAATGAATGAATAGAGTGATTTATAAAGTATGCCTTCTTCCTTCTTATTTTTCTTCCTTAAATGTATAGTAATATACAGTATACTTTAAGTAAGGCCCCCGCCCTATTATATCTCACACACACACAGTCCCACTTACAGTTTGGCCGTGATGAGGAGAATCAAGGCAACTCCAGTGTCTCTGGTTAGTTTTCTAAGCTGGCCAACCTGCCACAGAAACACAGATATTAGTTTATTCTGATGATAACCTTTGTGTTTACACATGTTTCAAAACAGCTGAAAATAGGTTTAAAATAAATAAATTATACTGAGCTAAAAAAAATCTCCTTTTACAGTAGTCAGTCAAAAAGAAATACAATTAAGCTAAATGTACAGTAAGGCTTAACTAATTAAAATTAAAACAATAACAAAACAGGAACAAAACCAAACTCACCATAGTGAGGCCAAGGTAAAACAAAGCCGCCCCTCCAAAAGAGTTAGCCAGGCCATCTATGAACTCCGATAGAACAGCAGGGATCTGCTGGCCCAGGGCAAAGTGGGCAATGATTCCTACTACCACCATGAATACTACGGGGTTCTTCAACACCTGGAGAGGTGATAGACAGAGGGTTCGATAGGGTAATTTTAAACCTCAGTGGGTAACTTTAAGTTTGTCAAACTAAGAAAAAACTATTGCAGTCTGTTAGGGTGTAAAGATGTGTTACACTTGTTCTGGTTTATCATTCACCTTAAAACACCTTTATATACAATACCTGTAGGACTACAACTCCCACAATGCCAAGAGTGCTGTGCTGTGAATGGCTGGCCTGCCTCCACTTCTGCACCTCACAAAGAGCGAAGCCGATGGGATTGAGGAGCATGAGGGAGACCGGAGCAACTAGATAGATGTACTGGAGGTACTCTGGATATGTGCTCCGATACAAAGCATCAACTGAAAATACAAAGACAGAGTCACAGAGAGAGAGAGAGAGAGAGAGAGAGAGAGAGAGAGAGAGAGAGAGAGAGAGAGAGAGAGGCAGAGTGTTTGAAATGTATTTTTCTTCACAGACAATTTGTATCAGGAGTAAACATCAGTGTTAGTGTTCTGTGTCTGCCTCACCTATGGGGTATCCTAAAGCAAAGTCATTGCTCTGCGTGGCAAAGATGGCATACAGGCCAGCTTTGCTGTATCTGCTGTCTGGACTGGCCACCATCAGAGTCAGCACACATACCAGCACAAACACTGTCACCTACACACAGGATGGAAGCATCAAAGTCAGGTTGCGTGTATTTGTTTGGTTTTTTATTACAGTACCATCTCGCATTACTTCCACAGTCAATTTACCAAAATAAGACTTTCCTGGATGGGAATCTTCTCAAACTACCATTATATACACAATCAAAAGCACATACACATATTGTTACCACAGTGTGACCACACACACATGCACAGACACCAACCTTGGCGACCAGGACACTCCAGAGAAACGCCCAGATGACATCTCCAAAGTCCAACAGCACCATGTTTTTAAAGAGCAGAGCTGGGAGAGCAAACTTAGACACAAAGTTCCCCAAACCCTTCGCCTGGCTCTCTGTGATGATATCTGCCCTATAGTTAGGAACAGATTAAATGCACATAAAAGCCACAATGGTTGTCATTTTCATATATTCATTTGGTATCTCTACAATTCTCACATACAGCAGAACATTAACATGCTGACTGCATACATGCAAACTTAAGTAAATAAAATGGTCGTCATGGTGTAGGCATCCTTTACTAGTGTGTAACTGCTCGTACACAACCCTACCTGCCAGCTATGTAGCCACACATTATGATGCCAAAGCACTCAAGGAGAGCTGGGAAAAGCTTGTCGATGGACATGTGGGGAACTGCAGCAGAGCCCGCCAAGGTATTATGGGATATGTTCTTCCCATGGATCATCACGAAGTTGTTGGCAGTCTCCATGGTGATGATGGGATGGGGGTCAGGGTGGGTCAACTGGTGGCTGGGGAATATCAGCACTCTGGAGGAAGGCAACGATGGAAATACATACAATCAGTGGCAGGAGCAAGTGAAAGCAGGCAAGACAGAAATATACAGAGCAGAGGATGAGAGTGAGTAACTGCAAATGTTTCCCTGCTGGAGGGAAGTCCCGAGAAAAACAAGACGCATTGTTTTTATATGTGAGGTGAAGGAGGGGCTGCTGGTCGTGTAATCCCTCTTCATCTCTCTGTGCCTGAACACACCGTTAGCTAAATTAGCACAGTGAAAAGTCAACCCGCTTCATTCAATGACAGGAGATTTCTACTCTCTAACGACACTGTGGCAAACAACGTTAAAGGTTAAACAGCCTAAACTGCTTTCCATGACAGCCCCATTGTTCAGTGCCAGCTGACCGTTAGAGCTAAGAGCTAGGTGCATGCTAAAAACATCAGGGAATATAATACAGCGTTAGTTACATTTGAGGGCGCGGTAAGACATACCTTCAGCATTTAGCATTATTATATTATTTGAAATAACCTGTTTAAAAATGCTGTGCTTACCTCTGTTACTTAGGAGAACAATTCTGCTCAGATAGACCAGATTCATCTGTCTTGTTGTTTAAACAAGCCCGTGTTTTGCCGTTAATGTGAACCTCCTGAATCTGACAGCTGCCGAGAGTGGCAACGCCCTGAAATATGTCTGACAGGCGATTCAGCCAATCATCGCCGAAGCACGCTTCAAACTCCGACTGTGATTGGATGAAAGCGTGAGGGTTGACGCTGCATTCATGTAATAAACTGAATGACTAAATCTTTGGAGCTCGAAGCTCATTATGTGTTTTATAGCAGCTTACCGGTCTCAATGTGAAGACCAAATGAAATCCAATAGAAGTAAAGTGGTTTATCTGGCTTTTGTCCTTCATACGTTAAATAATAATATCATAATATCCCTTCAGTTGGGAAGTAGCAGTGCCTCAAATACAGTAAGGATGAAGAGGTTTTTGTATATATATATATGTCTTTATCTTACTATTATAATGTTCTTATAAAAAGCTAGTTAAGACTATATATCTCCCTTTCATCTCTTGAAATTTGCAGCATAATGCCACACAGTTAATGTCAGTGAGATGCATTTATATATCAGGATGACAGTAGAGGTTTTCTTTTCTTTATCAAATTAAGCAAAGACAATGACATTAACGCTGTGAGCAGGATTTGAACCTGCGCGGGGAAACCCCATTGGATTTCGAATCCAACGCCTTAACCACTCGGCCATCACAGCTCCCCTTTGTAACATCATTAAGGACATACACTACACCAGTCCGTACACCACATATTTACACACTCATAACTAGGTCCTGCAGGTCAAACACATCAGGATCCTTTGGTGTCCTTTCTGTTCTATCCCATATGATTTACAAATATTGTTTTTAACTGCACACTGATACAGACTTATGATAAATAACATACTGTACCCTGGTATGAGACATTGTTCCAAAATAATCTTAGATTGTAAAGATCCAGAGCGTCTAGGAAAAAAGCATGTGAATATTGAAACCAAAAATGACCTGTATTCAATACATAACAGTGTTCTACTTCAACTTCATCAACTTAAGTAACTAAATTAAATATTAAAGAGTAGCAACACCAAAAAAAAGACCAAAACAATGTATCTAATTGAGTTGCTCCACAGGCGCACATTGATGTATCTGACTGTTTTTTTCTTAGAGAACTTTGAGATTTTCTTTAGCTGGGGGTTAATAATCAAATCAACACAGTAAACCCTAGTGTAGTCTATTTTAGACCTACAGTAGCTGTTTAAGTGTGAGTGAGTGTTCTCTGACAACTCCCAAATCTTCAGGCATGAGGCAGTTTAATTATGGGAGAACAATACAATGCCAGTTAAGTAAAGACCTCTGCAGGTTCACAAAAGAGATTTAAACTTCTGTCAGCAGACAAAAATGACACTGTCGGATAAACCTGGTAGCCTTTCACTGAGTATGTGAAGTCCATTATAACCTGTGCAGGAGCATCCAACCAGTTACAACAGTCAAACACTGAGCAATGGATGAAAGCACAATGATAACCAAATACCACAGTATTAGTAGTAGTCATTAGAGATTGTTGAATCAATTTATTTTGAGTTATATCATATAATGATATAACAGCCAAAACCCAAATCGCTTATATATAATGACTTACTGACGATACAATGTGTTGTCCAGCTTTATTGCACAAACATGTAAATGATGCATATTGTTTATCATACATAGTAAATCATATGGATCATCATTCATATGGATGCTGACATTACAATTTACCGTCCTTGTCTTTGATCAAATTATCATCCTTGTGCAAGAATATCCAATTATTTCAAATGTATAGTCAAATGAAACCACATATCACCTCATGTAGAGTACATCAAGCATCTTAAAGCATTTTATTTATTAATGAATACTTCCATATGATTGTCTTTTAGAAAATGTTTCTTTGACCAACACATGATAATAATACATTGTATACAAAAGACCATTCAAAAGCAGTGCTGGGTGAAGCAAAAAAAACTTAATACTGCACAATTCAGACACATAACTTAAAATAATACAGTCCTTCAATACCGCTTGATTAAATCATACAGATACATACACAGGTCCTTCATAGTAAGTCAATGCAGCTTTTAACAAAACAGCAAAATAAGAATCAGTTCTATTGTAAACCAATGCTGCTGTAACACCATACAATGTCCATTAAAACATCTCAATCACAAACATTAAATGCATGCTTGAATCACATTTAACCAATGAAAAGTACCGTTCAGTGGTTCCAATGGAAACACAGATGTGCAGTAAATATACATAATGTGAAGGCACATGTGGCTTTGGCAACTTAAACACCCGCGTTTCCCCTGATGTTTTATGCAGCAGTAGCAGGAGGTTGTGGCCATTTTTAGTTTTGGTTCCATGTCTAACTATGTGCTGATGTTGTCATTAAGACACTTCACTATATTAAGATATTAACTAGATATTGTGGCAATCAAGCTGCTGTATTGCTTGTTTTTTGGGGGGTTTTTTGACATTCACATCAGCATAGGTGATCCAATCCAGCTCAACAAACATACATAATTTAAGGCACAAAAGGCTAATTCCCTTAATTCTTTAAGCAGCCTGAACATTTCAATCCTGAAGAGAAAAAGGCACAAAGGAAACACTGGTGCACAAAGAGAGAAACAGCTTGTCAGCACACTTGAGGAAGCGGATTGGTTGCATTATAAGCCCAGCACTGTAACCCTGGGACTCCGATGTTGACAATAATATTGCCATCAGATGATCATTTAGCTTTACCTAATGCCGTCTCTGCTGTGTAAACATGCAGGGAAAGTCTCATGTGCTACCTGCCAAATGCTGGTTTATTTGTCAAGTACTCGTTCCTAAAAGTGTAGCTGGTTGGTAAAATATAATAACTAGCAAGCAATTTCTATCTATCAACCACTGTAATTAAAGGATGAAAGGGTTAGTTAATGGAATAACATCAGTGTGGAAAAGTTCATGAAAATACTCCAAGCAACCAGGTCCACAAAGGCCACCCAAAAAGCACCTTCCAGCTACAGCACGGTTGTAAACCTGAAAATAACACATAGTGCCAAAAGAGAAGCAAGTTCTTTTCTTTTTATCTGATCACAGTGTACCAGAGTAGAAACAGGCTTTGGTCTTTGAATGCCGCCATTCTGTGGCATTCTTCCGTCCTTTTACTTGGTCAACCACATTTCAGGTCCATTTTACATGTTGTAGTCCATCGATGAACCACGTGCCATAGGTAAAAGCACAATGAGCACAACAGAGGGAGAGAGAGAGAGAGAGAGAGAGAGAGAGAGAGAGAGAGAGAGAGAGAGAGAGAGAGAGAGAGAGAGAAGAGAGAGAGAAGGTAATTTGCTGCCACCTCTTCTTCACCTAGGTACTGGAGGAAGAGGAGGAGCTCCTCTCTCCTTTTTACCCGAACCTAGAAAGAAGACAGAGAGGAGTTAGTACTTTCTTCAGTTCCAGAGGAGATATAATTTCCTTCCACCAGGTGGCACTGTGTCACACTGTGGCTGTATTTACCTCAGAGGTTACGATCCCATTTGTTTCTTTGTTTGACAACATATCTCAAAAACTAGGAATATTTGCAAAAACGTTGTTCACAGCAAATTAAAAAAGTGATTCAAATTTGTTGGAAAGAGATACAGTGTTTGCTCTTGTGAATACCATCTACTTTTATTACGTACATTTTCTTTCACTTGTCTCTTGGAGTCTTTTAGCCTAGACATTAATTTCTTGAATTCACAGAAAGAAAGTCAAAATTTAACCTGAATTGAAAGTTGCAATTGGGCAAGTTCAGTTGTATGATTTGTATGTTTTAACTAAATATTAGTGATTTAAACAGCTAATTTTACGGGTTGAGAAAATTCAGTGACTGAACACCGAGGGACTGCAGGACAGTCTACCTGAAAGCACTTGTTCTGAAAAACATTTTGGAGACATGAGATACAAGTGTGTGTGTGTGTGTGTGTGTGTGTGCGTGCTCGTCAGACTGACCTTTGCCATCAGTCTTGCCAAGCTTGCTGGGGTAGGTCTTCTGGGAGGGCACGTAGGGCTCTGGTGGAGGCAGGTCAGATAATGGATGGAAATTGAATCGACACTCCCATTCATCTGTTAATAGAGAGAGAGGGACGTCAGTGGGTCTGTCTCCATCAGACTGGCAAAACTCAAGATACAAGCACTAGTGCACTAACAGACTGACTTTTTCAATCACAGTCTTCTAGTTTAACAGAACATGAATGGAGAGCAGTGGGTTTGGTTTTTCTGATTTGATACAGTGCAACGAAAAAAATGAATAAATAGGTCAATATGTTTCTGTAGAACACAATAACAGGAGTCAACTGGTCCAGAGAGACAACAGAGAGAACACGGAGAAGAACATTTTCTGGCTTTGCTGGCTATCAAACTTTTAAATTTGACACCCAGCACTACAAAGAGTATTTGTGTCTTCAATCTGTTTAAAAGCACTACACAGTCACAGAATATTGTTACTTCAGGAAATGTGATCAAAAACAGATTTTTTTGGAGCAGGATATTTAGGATCCTTTGTCACTTCTTGTCCCCGCTGCCTTCCAAATCAAACTTACTCCTTTGGTCCAATGGGATAAAAACAACACAAACGGGAGGTCAGTGGGTTTCTGCCATAGCTGAACACAGTGGAACTCATGTGGTAAAAACAACACTGAGGGCAAACAGATTTCTCTTGTAGAAACTACGAGAGTGCAGTCTGCGAAAAAAACAGTCTACAAGGAAGGCATGTAGTTTGTATTTTCTCCCAGCAAAGTTACCACTGGCTGTTTTTCTTGTCTGATGTTCCTGTTTAACATACTGTAAATGAACTTTTGAGCCATTCTCTTCCACCTCAGTTTTACTCTACTCTACTGGTGAAAAAAAAAAATAGATGCAAATGCTGTACATTTGCATCTATTTTTTTGTCCTACAACTTACATTATGTTTGCTTTCTGCTCTATATTTCTTGATTATTTTATTAATACTCACATTACCCAAACCAGCACCTTCAGGGATTTACTCACCCTGTATCTGGTTGTGGTGAGAGTTTTGGAAGCCGTTACCCATAGGTGGTGGTGGAGGAAGGGGCCCTCCCATCCCCGGTCTGTCTGGAGGGAGGGGAGGTCTACCGCCAGGTCCACCGCGAGGGGGCTCTGGCCGACCAATAGGAGAGGGAGCTGGCGATGACCTCACACTGCCCCCACCCATGCTACGTCCTGAGGGAGGAGGGGGAGGAAGAGGGCCTTTGGAGGTAGAAGTAAAAATTGACATGTTAGTAAAAGTGAAGTGATTCTTTTATAATACTGAAATTCACTTCCATCACAGGTCCTGAATTCCCATCAAATATTCACAGCGTCATCCATTGTCCAATAAATCAATAAAAGTTTCACCTGAGCGTGGAGAGGATTGGTTCTTTCCCAGAGATGGCGGTCGCTCGTTTGGTGGAGGAGGGAGAGGTCCTGCCCGACTATGTGGTGGAGCTGGACCATGGCTGGTAAAGAGAAACTGAATTATAATCTATGTACCAACTATACAGTGTTTGTGTTAATAAAAATAAAGAGAATAAACAGTTAAGCAGATCTTACTATAGAAAGTGCCAATTTATTGGACAAAACAGCTTTGCTGTTTTACTATATATTTAAAAGTGAATATACAGAATGAAAACTGAGGAGGGATGTGCATCACCTGCCCTAAACTCTACAATGGGCAGCTCCTGCTTGTTAATGCATGCACGTGTTGATGTAAAGTCAATATCCAAACAACTTACATTTTTAAAAAGAGACTGTTCTTTTTAGAAGGAAGCTACATGGAGAGGTTTGCATGATATGTGAACTACATTATTATAGAACAGCTATTAGATTTGAATCTATGCAAATTTTAGTAGATTCAGCCATCCAGAACAATCTCTCAACGTCTGATGCCTGATAGGAAATGCTGTGTAGACACCTGGCCCTTAATGCAACCATCCATGATCAAAAACAATAAATAGCAGAAACAGATACAATTTTACAGTACCTGTTGAGGGAGCTGTTCCTTTGGGGAAGACGAGGGGTGCTGTGATCGTCCCCTCCAGCTGGGGTGGGTGGGACAGGAGGAGGGCCCGGTCGACCTGGCGGGAGAGGGGGCGCACCTCCACCAGGTGAGGGCCGAGAGGTAGAGGAAGGGACAGCGGAAGGTTTGGAGTTGACAGAAGGAGGAGGAGGGGGCATATCGCGGGGCATAGATGGCCGATGACCTCCCATAGGAGCTGGTGGTGGTGGGGGTCGGTCATCAGGAAGTGGAGGCCTACCTCCGGGAGTGGGCGGAAGGGAAGGTCGGCTGTTGCTTGGGGGTGGATGAGGAGGTGCAGAGAATCCTGGTCTTGGCCCAGCTGAGGAGCCTCCTGGTGGGGGAGGGAGAGGTCCATGCCTCCCTGGTGGAACACTAGGAGGTGTAGGTCCTGAAGGCGGGCTGGGCCTGGGTCCTCCAGAGAATGACGGTGGAGGTGGGCCCCCACGAGACTGGAAGCTCTGGGTTGGTCGAGGTGTGTTTGGTACAGGAGGAGGAGGGCCTCCTGGAGTGTCTGGTCTGGATGAGAGACTGGGCCGGCCCTTGGGAAGATCAGGGGTGTTTCCCCGGACACCACCAGGGGCTCCTGGGAGTTTAGGCGGGCCTCCACCACCACCGAAAGGGCTGGGCGCAGAAGAGCGGCCTCCTGGGGGGAGCATGGGTCCTCGGCTGGGTCCTGAGTCTGGAGGAGAGGAAAGAGAATAGTAAAATTTACTATACTGGAGGTGTTACTAAATGCAGCGCTTTCAGTGATGTTCATTATCATTATTTTCCATCCATCCATCCATCAGCTATATCCGTCTATTCTTGAGGGTTGCAGGGGACTGGAGCCAAACCTAGCTGAGACTGGGTGAGAGACGGGGTACGCCCTTGACAGGTTGCCAGTTAATCACACATAGAGACAGAGAACCATTCAGACTCACATTCACACCAATTAACCTGCATGTCTTTAGACTGTGGGAAGAAGCCCCGGTGCACCACCATACAGTTGTTATAATTATTATTATTAGAACTATTCTTTCATGTTTACCATTGGACTTGTTTCCTGCAGACCTCAGTTTTGGCATCCCTCCTGCAAACAGGCCTCCTAAACCGGCAGGAGCCCCACCACCTCCACCTCCTCCTCCTCCTCCACCACCACCACCACCACCACCTCCTCCTCCTCCTCCTCCTCCTCCTCCTCCTCCCCCCTCCTTTGGGTTCTGAAAGGATAAACAAAAAATATTACATGAATTGTTCATCTGCAGGATACATCTTCTACATATAATACGCTGCACATTTGTGTAAAGATGTGCTGTGGGTATTTAGACCAGTGGGAACCCAGGCGTCTTTTTTGTACATTATTATTATTTGTTTTAGGACAGTCAGCTGTTGCCGTGACTTAGTATTGTTTTATTCCCCCCCTGTTGTTTTAAACTGAGCCATGTGACTAAGTTCCTCTTTGGGGACAGTAAAGATAGACATAGTAAGTGCTATTAAAGAGGTCTCGGCTTACTATCCAGTAAGGGTCCACTGCGGTCATTGGTAACGGTTTTCTTTAATCTGGCTCCTTTAGAAATGTCAGTCAACAGGGCGGACCTTCCTTGCTGCTGTGAACGGTTTAGATTTGGCTTCTCTGTATTGGCCTGAAACACAAACACAGATAGAGGCACATACAGTCACTGAGACAGAGTAAAGCTACAGAAAACACCCAGAAAGAGGGAAAAATAACTTATAACTAATTACTCTATTGATCTATGTGTGCTGAATCAATTCAATCCAGGATGACAGAGTGTGTAGACAACAGGCAGTGAGTGGATAAAATCACTGACCAAACAGGAAAAGACATAATTTATCCACAAGATGTCTCTGCTGAGCAGGGTCAAGAGGACAGAGCAGCAGATCCCACTGGGCAGAGACACAAGACAGATAGAGTGACTTACAAGAGCAAGGGTGGGAGGAGGGGGAGGCCCTGGGGGTGGTGGGGGGAGGTGGGGCTGGCATCTTCCTCTCTCCACTTTACTCTGTCTGCACTGGAGGCCGCACCCTGGGGAACAGATTACAGACACACACTTAATAAAATAAAACAACGTGAATTAAAAATGCAAGATGTTTTAGCCGTTGTTCTCCAAGCTTGAGACTCGGGTCCTTGAGACAGTTCCACGGTTTCCTCACGAACCCAAAGTTAATTCTATCTTAGCATTACTTCATTCAGAGAACTTTCTTGAACAAAAAAAAACCTTTTCACTGAAGCCAGTGTCCAAGTGCCCTACGTTGCAGTTCCTCTAATGAATCAGCATCTGATTATATTAAAGTGACCTTTTCTTTGGAAATAAAGAAAACATATTTGGAGCAAGGAACAATGGTCACAGTATTAAATTTCACTTCCTTAAAAGGTGTCTTGGTGACAAGTTTAAGAATCACTTTGCAGAATACAGATATTTTGGGGGGGATTATTTGCTGATTGACAGGGATCCCGGCCAATCACACTCAGCTATGGAGGTTGCCACTTGCTCACCATAGCTCAGCTCCACCCAGGTTTGATCCTTATCAGCAAATCAGGGCTTTCTAGCTCCGGTAACAGCCAATATGGCAACAATATGGCAACAATTGGTGAACACAACCTTAGCATTCAAAATATCCCTTCAGGATTTGAAAAAAACATTTTCTTTTTGCAAATATTGCAGGGAATGTTCACAGGAGGGACTACAGACAGAGTCTGAGCAGAAAAGGTTTAAATGCTTAAAGTATGTGTGGAACAATAAGTTATAACTCCAATCAGCTGATTGTAAGCTTATATGACAGACTTATAATAAATGTTTCATCTAACAGGAACTTGAGTGGTAAGTTCCCTAAAACATGACTTCAAAACAAGCTGTAAATTTTGAGCTTACTTTTACAATGGCAGATTCTTAAAAAAAACATGATACATTGCATGGGTGTAATGTGCAGAGCAGGACTGATGCTGGGTTTCCATTCTGTGTTACTGACACTGGGAATTTTCTTGCAAATATTAAAGCTGCCCTTCCAATGAGGGGCAACAACAGAATGGAAAGTTTCATCCTATATGTGACACAGTAGGTTCATCTTATTTGCAATAACTGTTACCACTGTGATTTTTATTTTTTCAAAATTTCTGTCTGATAAGAGCGCAGTTTGGTTTTTATGCTGAAGCTCAAAATTCATTTTGAAAATGTAATGCTGCTTTAATGGCCTATTCTACCAACCATTCCACACAATCCAGGAATACGTGTCAGATGAATTTAAAGACTAACTGAATGCAGCTGATACAAAAGCAACTGCAGACACTTCACTGACACTTCGAAGTCTTCCACTACACAGACGGTGCAGCAGCAGCTTTCTGATCTGATTGACTGATTCTGTGGAGAATTTAAAACATTATCTCATTCATCTGCTAACCTATGAATGGCACTGATTATTTGCTGCAATATATGATTTTACACTGGAACTGTTTCAAAGTACAACACAAGTTAAGCAACAAATAAACATATTTTTAAAAATATATTTTTAAGGGCCACTCAGTAGATTAGTTGCAGACGGCAAATAGAACTTACCTTAACTTAATAGAAATTACCTGCATACAAACAGCAGTGATTATAAATAGTAAAACCAAAACCTGGATTTCTTAGTCCAAAAACTTGATCCAAACACAGTTTAACAGTTACTGACATGAGAAGAGCCAGATGCAGCACTTCCCCATCTACACTACATTTTGGTCTGGCACAAACACCGAAACACAATTCAGAGTAGATATTTAGGTACTTCTCTATCACCCATTTTATAAAAGGATTTATATTGAGTGCTATGAAGGTGTCAAAGAAACACATCAACGAGGTGGAACTGTGATTACTGTAACTGGCACAGATGTATACAGCATATTAACAATGTCACGCTTACATGCCCACAGTATCAGTTCATTTCACTGCCGTTACACAGCTTAGGCACGGAGCAAAAACACTAAGACCTGCTGCACCTAAGCTGTATAAGCCACATGAAGGTAAGAAAACAATGTGGACAGCTGCCACACGGGATGTGCTGGGTGATGAGAATGAAGGTCACAGTGGGCTGGAACTGCCAAAGATACATTTTGGCGAGAAGCCAAATGTAACAAACAATGTCTATGCTATGTTTCTCCCTCTCTTACTTTCTCCCAAGCACGTACGGCACCTAATAAAACAAAGGGCATATTCCTCCTTCATTCTAAAGACTGTGACTGTTAGCTATCACGCTAGCCAGCAAGCATAAGTCACCACAGAGAAGCAGCCGAGCCCTCTCAATAAGGGAACTTTTGTCAACCTACAGGCCACAAGTTGGTTTAAACTGAAAAGCCCTGGTAAACTGATGTAAATCTCACTGAATGGGAAATAAATCAGTTGACTAGAAAGTATACTAGCCCTCCAGGTAGAAACCAGCACTTCGCCGAAGACTCATCTACCAGTCAGTCCATTAGAATGCAGGATCAAAACTGGTTGTTGCACAATGATTATCACTGATGCAACAATGTTCATCACACAAATGAGTGCTAAAACACAATAAGCACAAGACGAATGTCGCCTAAGAACAATGCCTGTGTAATAAATATTCATTTTCTATACTCTGTGTTTTTCGTGGTAGCCCATCTACCATGGCCACCACTGCCATCGTCATCACTTTATTGTCCCAGGGCAGTGGAAAATAAATCAACAACAATAGTAGTCAGTAACATACTCATTGCATTATGTTTTTGAACACACCTGATGCAGCGGGTTCAGGTGTGCTAGAGCAGAGAGATCTGGAAAATGGTGCCTGGAGGTCTTGAGTTGGGATCCCAGAGGCTATTATTATTATTATTATTATTATTATTATTAAAAATAATAATATTTCCTATCATCTAATTCACTTACAAAAGAGGCAAGTTGCATATAACTGCATATTACCGCCTGTCACTCCCACACGTACACACACACACACACACACACACACACACACACACACACACACACACACACACACACACACACACACACACACACACACACATTCAAATTCACACTTAAATAAGCCAGTTTCCCCTCACACAAATACTCACACAGCTTGGCCTCTCACTTCATTTCAAGTCCACACACACACACACACACACACACAACTCAGACCATCCTCTAAGGGCCTCTTACTTCCTGTATGCTGCTGACAAACAGGAAGTCGCTTCACGGCTCCAGCACCGCAGCCATCCGGCTGCCAGGATGATGATAACTCTACATCTCAGCGTCGCATCATTTTGAATTTCTCCTCCTTCCTCTCACTTTCTTTCTATCAACTGTTCATCACTCCCACACTGCATTTGTGTATCACCTCTCTTTCCCTTTTTTTCCCCTGATTCTGCTTGCTCTCTTAATCTGCGCCGTCTTGACGTTCATCCCTGTATCCCCTATCAGCCTTCTGTTCTGTCTCTGCCAGTTCCTGCATGGTTTGTCACCTCCAACACCTTATGCTGAAAACTGACAACTTATTTAACCACAACAAGATTTTCAAACCTCGCAGCATGCTGGCTTCCCATTTCTGGTGTACTCTGAATACAGTTTATGCTGTATTACAACTATATTCAAAAAAATAAGAGAAGACACCTTGAACGTCGGGTAGTTTAAAGCAACCGAACTGACCTGCTGGGCTCTGTTTTTGCATGACATAACACACTCCTTTAAATGTGTGCCTTAATCCAAACTGGATCTGAGTGGTGAAGCCAAAACCTAATAAGAAAGACTACCTAAAAAGGAAAATAATACAAATAACAATATTACTAAAAGTTTAAAAAGAATAATCGCTGGGAATGTTAAGGAATATTTCTGAGAGATAGCAAAATGAAATACATTCAAAATATGAAGCCACATAAAAGGTCAAGTTAGTTAGAATCATTTTTGTTTTACAAAAGACGTTATCCCCCATATTTCTGCACTGTCAACATTGTCAACACTGTGTAAGCTGAAAATGTGTTCAAATGTCCCTTGAAAATCAACCCATAAGACTTTCCTCCGGTGCCACTATGAGGTTAAAATGTGGTTCACAGTGAAATATCTAATCCATGAAATTTGGAACTGACATGAATAAATGATCAGGATAAATTGTAATAACTTTAATGATCCTTTAACTTTCAGCATGTTAGCATTCTTACTGCGAGCATGCTGCCATGCTAGCATTAGCATTTAGCCCTAGGCACCGCTCTGACTAAGCACTGCACAGCCTCACAGTCTTAGTCCTGAAGGTGCACTTTTTTTTTTTTAAAGCTGCAAGAGGATTCACTGTCTCCCTGTGTATTTTATTTAATATGTAATAAATTTTTTTTCAGTAGACTAAAACTCTCTAGTGAAATCCAGTCAGATGACAATCTGTGTTCAGTGTTTGCATTGCTTTACAAACTGCCTCTGTGATGCTGTTGAGTTAAACAACCTTATCTCCATTATACCAGCTGTGGCCCATGCAGAGTAAAATGCAATGTTTATTGGAAATATCCATATACTGACCTAAACCTAATATAGAATCTCCAACATGATAATTCACTGATCATTCCTTCTATAGATAAGCTGTTTACATGTATCTTTTATATGATCACTAATTTCCAAATATGGACCATGATGATGAAAAATCCTGCACAGGAAATAAGCTTGAACACTGAGTGAGAGCCAAGAATTAACAGGACAACATGTACAGTACACATGCCTCAGTATGAAGAGCTTAAACCTGCTATACGGTTCTTTACGTGGACGGTAAATGTGTATGATGTCTGTATGTGCCAACATAAAGATTAAATATTAAGAAGATGCTGGAGTACATGGAAAGTTAGTCTACGATTCCTACTTCACCCATTTTGTTGAGTCATATTTCATTCAGTGAAGACTCCACGAGGAATGAAAACTATTCCAGCAGAGTTTGAGGTTGAGTTGTAAAGACAGGGTTCATTCAGACTCCATAAAAATCTTGATGTATATTATAATCTGTTAGAAATAAATTAAAAACATTAACCCTACATTTGATATTAATAATTAAAATAAACATAAAATTGCCCCGTTCTTGATCTTTTTCATGACATGTTGAATTTCTACAGATTTTTTACATTTGAAGGCTAGAATTTCTACTTTCTCGCTGAAACTTTACTGCATGTGGAACAATCACTGACACAAACTAATCTGGAATTCCAGCAGCGAACAGTCACAACTTGCCAGGCAGAGCTACACACACTCACATAAAGATGTCTTATACAGTATATGTGAACGATGTCTGTCACACATTGTAGATTACCTATTTAATCAAAACATCTCTCAGGACAAGTGACAGTCTGGAGCTGCATACAAGATACAGACTGAGAAGACAGGGCCACACAGAACGATGTTGTTCAATGTGTTCTGAATATGAACGTGAGGATTCCTCTATCATGAAATGATGTGCTTACAGTTTGAACTGTTTGTCATACATCCAGTAACTGTAGTGCCGCAGCTACTATTCTTATTGTGACCAACATCCCAAAGTAATAATATTCTGATGATATAAAGCAGAGCAAAGTAGGCAATTATTTGTTTTTGTGAAGCAAATTTACGTACAACAAGTAAATTAACAATTACTAATTCATCAATCAGTTTATTACAATTGATAAGTCATGTTTCAGGTAAGGCAAATGAAACAACCATGGTCAGGGCAAATAAGAACAAATAAGATCAACTTTAACTGAACAGGAAAACGTCACTCACACTAGCAAACCTCTCCACAAGAACCGGCTGTTGAAACTGCACTGGCAGATTTAAAGACCAAAAGCCAAATGCACATGTGCATGTTTCCACTGTGCTAACAATTGCAGATGTTTCTATTTCCACCTCTACCATGACTGAACCCTCTGTGACATGTAAAAATGCATTTCTACCACGCAGTGCTGAGGGTACTTAATTGCATTTTAAACTATGCTGAATATATCAAATTTAAGCAGACCACGCTGAACTTACAGGGTAGGCTGGTCATCAGGAGAATGCTGAGCATGAGCACTGACACGGTTACTTTATTCTGTGATTAAAATGCGAGTATGAGTCACTTTCACAGTTCTATCAGGATATAGAGACTAGCACATCGACTCATTTCCTGCAGCAGTGATGAAATGACACTGACACAACTGCAGATGTAAGACCAGAAGATAAAAACAGGCAGAAAGAGGAGAGTCAATGAGACTGTGTTGCAAAGGAGGCTGACTGCAATGGAAAATCCCTCCTTGGTTTTGCTTAGCTTGTCATGTTTGCAACGGTCAGTGTCAGAAAAGCAATTTGTAGAATGCTCTTCAAAATGCACCAAATGTACTGATTGGAAACGAGCACACCAAGTCTGTTTATGAGCTGACTGAAAGTTGGTGAGAGATTGGCTGATGATACTGAAGCGGCTCTATGTGAATGCTGAAAGACATCAACTTCCGCCATAGGAAACAGGCCTGTGTGTTGAAATTTAAAATGCACTACACTACTTCTCTCCCCCTCTCTCTAACTCATATTCACACACACACACACACACACACACACACACACACACACACACACACACACACACACACACACACACACAGCCTAATATTAGCTAAGCATTCACAATGGCTCCTTTGACAGACAGAGGGAGAGTAGTAGAGATGGAGGAAGGGAGTAAAAGAGAGAAAGAAAGAGACATGAAGGATTCCAGGGTGTGGATCCTTTGAAGAGACACCGTCAAGAGACACACACACACACACACACACACAGTGAATAAAGCTCACATATGTTTCGGTTTACAAATGGCCATAAAAAGGCTTATTCATCCTGCCACTGAACCTCCTGTGCGCCTCGACCTCATTAGAGTTACTGCACACAAACACACACACACACACACACACACACACACACACACACACACACACACACACACACACACACACACACACACACGTTAAACCTCAACATGTTTAACCTGTAGTATAAACTTATAAATTAAAGACATACTTAGAAATACCAGGCTGATTGGATTTATCACACATACTGCGTTCACTTTGAAGTGAAATATAAATATAATATAAATATGTGTGTCCAGGTAAGTGTTGGCTTATTGGAGGAAGGCAGACAAAGGCAGTAAATGAAAATTGGTGTTCACAGTGGCAAAATGCTCACCTTGTGACCAATATCATGTGTCAAATTGACTTCAGCTGCTGCAGTGTGCACTGAAGAAGTGTTCACTCCAAATACCATCCCTCCATCTGGCTGGAGAACAGCTGGTTTTACATCTTATCTTATCTTATCTTCAGAAAATAGCATACTTGAGTTATTTATTTATTTTTTTAAACCTGCAGTTCAATATAGAAACATGTGGTTTCTCATATGGTGACGATGGGTGGGAGTGGGTCTATCATTTAGAGGAAACCTCCCATAATTTTCAACTCAACTCCGCCCAAGTACTCAGACAGTTCAATAGTATCCGTTAAGAAGTTTTGAGGAACAATAAGGCAAATCAAACACACTTGTGTAATTCAACAATACAACATTCAAATATAATATATTGATATGCCTGTCTTCACCATTAAAAAGTTCAAAATCGGAGTTGATTGTGAACATGAGTAAGGGGAAAGGGTGATTTTAGACATTTCTGAATGTAGCCCAGGGTAGTAATAAATGTGTCGGCTGTGCAGGAACAGTGCTGAGTGGCTAAGCTAACATCCTGTGGTGTGTTCACTTGCTCACTCACACACACACACACACACACACACACACACACACACACACACACACACACACACACACACACACACACACACACACACACACACACACACACACACATAGCTGATGTATCTGGCATCAGATGTGGTTCTATTGCTGTTATTTTAGTGTTCAACTCAGCAGGTTAATTTTACCTCTTGAACAGTCTTCAAATAAAGAAATTGGTGCTGAATATATTTTGTGAAGGAAACGTTTATAGATGAACGTCTTTTCTAGAAAGGCCCTTGTATATTTGTCTTATTAAATGAGGGATTTCTTTCTAGCAAGGATTCGCGATGTGTTTCCTCTCTTGACATATTTGCCATATAACCAGATGTGACTGAAGTATATTTAGATATGGACTTAGCAGACTAGTAAAGGTTTCTGCACACAGAAACTACTAAAACTTATCAAACCTCCGGCCATTGCAGAACAGATCATTGAGCAACATGCGATATAACCACCTTTACGTTTTTCGGTTTTTTTTAGGTTTTCCTCAATGGCATAAACCACTTCCTACAAAGAACACAACACTGCAATCTCCTTTACATTGTGGTACACTGCAATAAAAGAGCCTTTCTTAAGTGCCGGTTTGTGTGATTTTCCTGGTGATCTTAAGGTTTGACTTTTACTTTCATTAATTATGAGTAATCGCAATGCAATTAGCAGGTACCATGGTGCTCACTGAGGCCTATCAGGTGCTACAGATTTTCATTGTTTGGTATTTAAATCTCACTCGCTCAACATTTCCTGTTTAGTCCTCCTTTCTATCTTAGGTGATGTGCCAAAAAGGCTAAATGAATACCAGTAAAGCCAGTATACGTCTATACATTACACAAATCAAATCAATGTAAAACATGGCAATAAAACACCTTATCTATCCATATTACACTTATCAGCTTACACCACTGATGTATGGAGATGTGGGGTAACAACATACCATCATCCTCTGCAGTATATTTGCACTCCTATACAAAATGCATACAATAAAGGAGCTTCTAGTCTGTGTATCTGCTCTTCTGTTTCTACAGTAGGGCAGAATGGACAAACCAAACTGAGTCCCCTAATAAATTGCAGAAATAAATATCTAATTTCCTTATAACTACATCACAACAGGCAAAACATAACTGCAAAAAGTGCTCAGTAGACGGGGGACAGGTTTTTCTTTTGACTTTGGACACCAAAAAGACTTCACCAATGTTTTTATCTACTTCTACAACGTCAGTGGAAACAAAAAGATCAGCGCGTCTACTTACTCAATCTGTGTCCATAGAAGAATCAGCAGTATGTTCAGAAGACAGTAGAAGAAGCACCTTAGTTCATTCCTCATAAAAATGCAAAACTTGAACAGCAGCCACATACAGCTGAAATCAGAAAAAAGCGGAAGATTAGTAGCATCTAAAACCTTTAAAAAACATTCTGCACCAAGTAGAAGTTCTTGATTCCTCTTCCTCTAAACTCATATCTCACATTCAGAGAAGTCCCACTTCAACAGACACACACACACACACCGTATATATGGTGCATACTACTTCCTCTTTTTCAGTTCCCCACCTGGGGGAGGGGGAGGGGTGCTGGGGCCTGGAAAATTTAGTCTGCAACAACGTTTTACAAGCTGACAAAATATAAATCCACCACATTTCAGATATCATTCATGGTACTAGTGGCAGTAGCAGACAGTCATCCAGGTAGCAGTCCATCAAAATATAAAACTAGAGAGCATTCAGGGAGTGCATTAATCCACCGAGGCTGCACAGTCCTCCCCCTGACCACAGAAATTCTTTAAACTTTAACATGTTTTATACTTATGATTTTATTTTGTTAGATATACAATAAACATATTTAAGCTGGTCTAATTAATCACAACTGCAAAAAATCAAATATAACAACTGGTTGCACAATTCACTGTTTCGTTTAAAAAAATGCATTAGTTTAACACTGATGCCTCTATGTTACCTACTTCTCTATTTCTCTAAAGTTATTCTTACAGTAATGATCCGGTCGGATTCCCCCTGAAATCAACTAAACGACACGGTAGAACCACTACTGTTTTTGTCCACAGTTCCTTTAAACACAATAATGCACCAGCATTGCCATGACATGACATGACATTGTATGACAAAACTTTACCCAACCAATGCATATCAAATGACATTTTTCAAGTAAGCATGTTACTTGCATCGAAAAGGCAATTACGTGTGCCAAACAGCAACAAAATCCCTCATTGTAATCTTCATCATTTCATTTTAATTGAATCACAATCAGACCAGTTAGTAGTTTCATTGAAATTCTGACATTCAATGACTTTAGCACGTCCAGGTAAAAAGGACCAAAGTGTGAAAATACATCATCTACTCAAAAGTCAGTGACGTCTGAGATTATGGTTGATGACTGGCTACACACTGTACTTCCTCTGTATATCTTGAGAGGAGGAAAGAAAGGAGAGTCCATGATGTCAAAAGGATGACACAGAGTGATTGTTCACTCGTTTTTGGTTTTTTTTTACACCAAATTATCGTGAGAAAAATGTTGGTAACAATTTTGACAAAGTGTGAAAACATGCACACTGATGACCACAATGGAGAAGTAAAAGATGACTAGGAAGAAGTAGCAGCAGAGGAGAGGATAAAATGAAGAAAACAAGATGGAGGGGAAATGAGGGGATAGTTTGGAGTAATATCTGGGGGAAATCACAGAAGCAAATGGCTGCATGCTGCTTTTCCAGCTTTCTGTATTATGTAATTCTCCATAAAATTCCTCTGACTGCCTACTCAACTTTTCTGTTGTCACTGTATCCTTTAAATTCTCCAAAAAAAAATGGAGCATAAACCTTTTTGTTTTATTGCTAGAAAATGAAGAACAGCTTCTAGTTAACGGAACGTCAATTGATCCCAGCCCTTAAAGCTGCTGGACGAAAGGCTTAGCATAGCTCCACAGCAGCCACTTCCTGTGCTCTCAATGTCACACTTCCTGCCTCGCAATGCAGTCGGGGGCGGTCTGCCAACCCACCATCGGCTGCACTTCAATACTCTCCCTCGTCTCCTCTTTCCAGCCGACGACAGCACCAGAGCTGCGTCTTAAAACGAGACACCTTGGCTTCCTCCCCTGTGCTCAGCTGTTTTTCTTCCCCGACTTCCAGTCTCCAGTGAGGGGAAAAACGTGTCTGAGCTGGTGCTTCTGTACACCATAAAAAAAAAAAGGCCAGTGTTCCCCACAAATGCCACTGCAATTGGCTAATGAATCAAGAAAAAAATGCTCACATGGTTAAATCAGCGCCGAGCCTTTACACCAAACAAATGTGCAACAGAAACACATGTAAGTTACAACAGCCTTTTTTAGGCATTGAAGGTA